AAATAAATAAGGCAGGTTCACAAACTGAAATACCATTGGAACTGTCATTAGAACCAGCTAGCATTTTAATGACTAGGAAGGAGATCAGTTGAACTTTAATGCATGTATTACAAGAAATCTCCCATCAGCAGGTGTTCATCATTGCTTTGGAGGTATTTAAATTCTTTCAAAGTATTTTAGAACTTTTCTTGGGGGGGGGTAAGGTGTACCAGAAATTGAACCCAGGGGCGCTTAATCACTGAGCCACATCCCTAGCCCTTTCTTATTTAGTTATTTTTTTTTTTTTTAATTTTTAGACAGGGTCTCACTAATTTCCTTAGGGCCTCGATAAATTGCTGCAGTAGCCTTGAACTTGCAGTGCCTCCTGAGCCACTCAGATTATAAGCATGCACACTGTGCCTGGCTTTTTTAGAATGCTTTGATGGTATAGTAGAAACTTGATAGAGTAAAGTATACTAAGATTAAAAATAGTTCACTGACATTCTTTTCTTTCTTTCCGTCAGTTCTTCAGTTGTTGTGAAGCATAAGACCTTTCAAAGCACTGTAGATATGGACAAAGAAGAAAGGAAGACTATCAACCAGGGTCAAGAAGATGAAATGGTAACCACCTTTCATGATTTACTTGTGAAATATAAAGAAGTAATCTCTTCCATTTATTATTCTAAGGAGTAGAAAAGTACAGTTATGAAACAAATCTAAATCAGTTTCTCTCCTCATCATGTTCTTCAGTTGGTATTATGTAATATCTATACTTGTTGTTTTTAGTATAATTCCTTTTTTTTTTTTTAAACCTGTGAGCTGCTCAAACTTGGGAAAAGAAGTATGCTTTTACATTTGGTGATTTGATTTGCTACATTAACTAATGTTTAAATATAACTCCAAAAGATTTGTAATTTTGATTTTAAAATTTAAAAATCAACTTCATAAAAACAAAACAAACAGAAAAACCCAACTTTAGCTGCATGTGGTGGTGCACGTCTAAAATCCCAGTGGCTTGGGAGGATCGAGAGTTCAAAACTAGCCTCAGCAATTTAGTGAGGCCTTGAGCAACTTAGTGAGACCCTGTCTCAAAATAAAAAATAAAAAGGTCTGGGAATGTGGCTTAGTGGTTAAGCGCCTTTGGGTTCATTCCCTGATATCAAAAAACAAACAAACAAAAAACCCAAACCAAAACAAAACAACTTTTCATGCTGGAGATAACAGCTAAATTGTAGAGCTCTTGCTTAATGTGCAAGCGCTCTATAATTGAGCTGTTATCCCCAAGTTCAAACCCGGCACCACAAACAAAACAGAACAAAAAATGAACTTCTCAACTCTTTGGTGAAGTGCAAGTGGAAATATGCCAGATAAGATATAAATTTTTCTATTATATGTAAATTTCAGATAATCAAGAAATAAACCTTTAGTATTACATATACCCAGAATGTTGCATGGGACCAGCAAAGTTATTTGTTGCTTATTTGAAATTTTAAGTGTAAATAGGTCCTCAGCATTTTAATTTGCTGGCAAATTGCCTGGCAACCTCTGTGTATGTGTGCATTTGTGTTTCTGTTTTAATGGTAATATTTAAAATAATTTTAGTCAGGGGTCTGGTTTATCCAATTATAGTGTTACTGAGACATCAAATTACTTGGGAAAAAATTAAAACCTACCTTATCTAGATGCAGTGTGATATTCTGGATTATGTCCTGGAATTAGGAATAAGATGTTAGTGGAAAAACTTGAAATTCTAATATTGAATTTAGTTAATAGTAATATAGCAGTGTTAATCTTTTGGTTTTGACAAATGTATCAAGATGTTAACATTAGGGTAAAGTTGACACAGAAACTCTCATTTTTGTAACTTTTCTGTAAATAAACTACCTCATAACAATGTGAATACTTGAAGAATTATTAAGACTTGTAAAAATTATAATAAAATATACTTACTATGAATATACTGTGTCAGTGGAAAAGAACTTATTAAACATCAAGTACCATGCCATAAATTATAAATAGCCAATTTAACTATAAAATTAGTTAATTTTATTCATAAACTTGTCAGGAACAAAATATAAATTATTGATTGAGAAAATATTTACTATTTATGTGACAAAATATGTGCTTGGAGTGAAAAAGCATTTTTTAATTCATTTGTCTGCTGTATAATTTGATAATTAGTCATCTGATCATTGTGTCCATACAGGAGATTTATGGTTATAATTTGTGTCGCTGGAAGCTTGCCATAGTTTCTTTAGGAGTGATTTGTACTGGTGGGTTTCTTCTCCTCCTCCTGTACTGGATGCCTGAGTGGCGGGTGAAAGCAACTTGTATCAGAGCTGCAGTTAAAGACTGTGAAGTGGTGCTGCTGAGGACTACTGTAAGTCCATATAATGACTGATAGCTGCTTATTTGAGGAATAAAATAATGGTTTTGTATTTACTTTGTTCAAAACCATGCTCGAATGGAACATTCGGGGGAGGTGCCAGAATATAATGAATTTTGAGTATGGTATTTCTAAAGTATCTGTGTTTAAAGTGAATATTATTAGAGTGATTCGAATTTAAAGGAATCTTTAAAATGGTCAGGTTTCTCCCTTTCTTTTATAGCTCTTGATGCCCCAAGAGATTAGAAAAAGTTTGGTCCTTTAGGACTCTCTGGGCTGTTTCTCATTTAGTAGGCCAGCTGCTTATCTACTGTGTGATGCTGCTTTATCTCAGATTATTTTGGTTTGTTTGTTTGTTTTTATCCTAATTTGAAGCATTTTAAAAAAGGTTTTAGTTTCTAATGCTCATGTACAGATTCATGAGTAGATTAAGGAATTAGTTGTAATCTTTCATGGAGTATATTGATGTTTGTACTGGTGAAATGTGTCATAAAATTCGTGAACAATGAAATATACTTCATGTTTGAATTTATTCATCTTCTTGTAGTTTAACATTTAGTGAACAGGAAATTATGTTTTTTTGCCAGGTACCATGGTGTATACACATAATCCTGGCAACTTGGGAGGCTGAGGCAGGAGGATTGCAAGTTTCAGGGCAGCCTGAGGAATTTAGTGAGACTTTCAGAAACTTAGTGAGACCCCCATCTCAAATAAAAAGAACTAGGGATGTAGCTCAGTAAAACATCCCTGGGTTCAATCCCTAGTACCAGTAAATAAATAATGAAAGAAAGAAACAGACAGACAGATAAAAAAAAGCCTGGGGATATTGCCCAATGTTGAAACAGCTCTGGGTTCAGTCCCCAGCATGGGGTTGGGACCATTTGGGTTGGGGAAGCAGGAGGAGAAATTATGCTTTCGTAATTAGAGGTGGGTAAGTATGTACAAAATGGAAATTAAAAACAGGCAGTCATATAATATGCATAATTGACTCTTTTCCCCTTTCTTCTAAGGATGAATTCAGAATGTGGTTTTGTGCAAAAATTCGTTTTCTTTCTCTGGAAAATCATCCATTTTCAAATCCAAAATCTGTAACTGATAAGATTTCAAATGGCCATGCAGTTCATTTAACTGAGAATCCTGCTGAAGAGAATAGGCATGAGATGAGTAAATGTTCACAGACTCAGACACAACAGGTATTGTGATCTAGTGTCCAAATTTCTTTATAAACTAGAATTGTGAATATTTTGTGTTATCATATGTAACTTATAGGATACATATTTTGGGTTTACTGTTATTGCTTGAGATAAATTTATATGCATATAAATACCTATCATTAAATGTAACAGTGTTCCTTAAAAAAAAAATTACATGTTACAACAAACGATGATATGCTTTGATGTAACATTTATGTATGTTCTACAGATTCGTTATTTCACCCACCATAGTGTAAGATATTTCTGGAATGATACCATTCGCAATTTTGATTTCTTAAAGTAAGTATCTTTCTTTTTTTGGACTATATTAAGAATTTTTTGAAAATGTTCTAAGTAGAAAAGAATCTGTTGTAATTTTACATAGAATTGAAGGGATTTTTATTGCATAACTTTTATTCATTTGTTCATTAACAACTTCTGTAGTTTTTTTTTTTTTTTTTAAACCACTGATTGAACCCAGGGTGCTTAACTACTTAGCCACATCCCCAGCCCTTTTATGTTTTATTTTGAGACAGGGTCTCACATAGTTACTCAGTGCCTCATTTGGGTTGCAGAGGCTGGCTTTGAACTTGAGATCCTCCTTTCTCAGCCTTCTAAGCCACTGGGATTATGGGCATACACCACCATTCCCAGTTCCCCCCAGTGTTTTTGAAGACTCAGTATTTTTTGTATTGGGTAAAATTTACATAAAAGTTAGAAGCAGTATGATACCAAAGTATTCCGAAGTCTGAGGTCTTTTGATTTTCACCTCAAAGTGATTTTTTAAAAAAAATTATGTCTAAAAGCTTGTTGAAAATAGATTTATTCATGTAGGTGGTGCTGGGAATTGAACCTAGGGTCTTGAACCTGCTAAGCAGGCATTCTACCTCTGAGCAGCATATGTAGCCCGCTATGATTTAATTAGAGGATCTGAATTATTACTTTCTGATTTGTTGACAGTCCCATCCAGTTGTACTTGAGGACCATACTAATATACAGAAATAGAAATTTAATTTTACTATTTGGATAAAGAATGAAATGTTGTCAGACATGTTATCTTTGGGTAGCATACATTGGAGTAATACCTTAAAATTTATTTTTGCCCAGGCTGGCCCCAAATTCTTGAGCTCAAGTGATCCTCCTGTCTTAACCTCCTGAGGACCGATGGAGGGACTATAGGTATAGTTCAGTGATAGAGCACTTGCCTAGCATGTATAAGACCTTGGGTTTCATCCCCAGCATGTGAGTGAGCATATGTGTATGCATACTCACATGCACATATAACTTTTAAGAAAGTGGAAATGGATCGAAATTGAATATATGTAAGGTTCTGTTTGTTGTGGAGTACTGTGCTTATACCTTAGTTAAGATAAACATAAATAAGACATTTTGGGGAAAATTAAATGTTAGTTGGGTCCTATTTAAGATTTTTACAGATTTTAGACATTATCTGACTCATAAATTCTGTACTTCTAACCTATGCATTATTTAGCTCAGGGAAGGATTTGAATTGATGCCTTTCTGAAGATGATAGTCTATGCATAGGATTTCTTAGTTTGATGCTAAAGGTATAAAGGAGAAACTACAAATAGAAAGTAAAAATAATTTAATCTTTAGTTTGGAATTCTCAAGTCAGTTATACTTAATCTTAACTTTTATTATTGACTCTTATAGCTTTTGCATAGCCTTAAAAGGATAATGGTGTTACATAAACAAGAATTTAGAGTCATCTTATGTGAGAAATGCATTGATTAACTTATTTGTTATGTTTTAGACCATTCATAATTATTTATGTTAAGATTTTGAGATTTTTAATTTTCGTTTCTAAATTTATGGTAAGCATTTCTAAGAAGATTATAAGGAAGTTACACTTTTAAAATCAGCCATGTAGAAAAATGAGACATTAAGAAATTTGGATATTTTAAACTTTGTTTACAGTGAAAACTTTGAATTTATTTAGGGGGCTGGATGAAGGTGTTTCTTGTACATCAATTTATGAAAAACATGGTGTGGGACTGACAAAAGAGATGCATGCCTGCAGGTAATTTTTATTCAACTAAAGTTAGATCTGTTCTCAAAATTTTTATTTATGAAAAACATGGTGTGGGACTGACAAAAGAGATGCATGCCTGCAGGTAATTTTTATTCAACTAAAGTTAGATCTGTTCTCAAAATTTTTAAACTTAGAAATATATATGTGTATGTGTGTATACACACATACTAGGTCCTTTGCCTTGTAGTACATATTAACAGGTGTTTAAATATTACAGACTAGTTGTTGAGAACTTAACTTATTTCATTTGAGTAAAACTGTCTCAGTTTTAAGAATTATAAAAATGTTAAAGCTGAAGTTGAAGTTGATGTACCCAAAGTTCTACAGTATTTCCTCAATTCTAAGGTGCACATTTTTTCCCATTTTAATATCTCTAAAATTGAGCCATTCCATGTAGCTGTTTGAATATCATCCTTTGCTTGACTGAAGATTTATCTTTCTTGATCATATATAAAATAGTGGTGTATCTTGTAAAAGGATAACATCTTAGATTTTCTGAAATATATTTTCAGATTCACACAAGGAAAATTTGTAAAATGAGAGTCCTACTCTTTCATGTTATTAAAGCAGGAAATATACATATTGTATGTTTTATATTTATATTTGAAGTATGCATATTGCTTATTTTAGATAAATGCCATTTTCAGATTATAATAGAGATTTTATTGTATTTGTGTAGCATTTTTTTTCAAAGAGTTGGAACAAAAAAAATCAGTCAGACTTACACTTTCCTATAAAATGCAAAATTATTATATAGAAGGTACCATAAGGAATTATCTAGAAGGATTTAAGGAACATTTTAAAAATATTTTTTCCTTATAAGTCAAATGTACAGTGTTTTGAAATACTCAGTACAATATTCTTATTAGGAATAATATAGGATTCCTTAAATTTATTTAATCTCTTGTAAAACTTAATTGTAATTCAAACTTTGTTAACATCTGTTGCCTTCAAGGATGGAGAAGAGATCCTTTTGCTTATTGATTATTGACTAGTGGGATTATTATCAACTCACTTGTAAGATTTGAATAATGAAATGAAACAGTATTGTTATCCAGGATTGACATCTTTGATTTAAATATAGTAGGTAGAGAATTTTTTTCATAGAGAATTTAAATTGTAGAAGCATGTTTTTAAAAACATAAATTTAAGAACAGTCTGTGGTTTGAATCTTATCTAATGCAATCTTTCCTAAATTATACTGTTATTTCATGATACAGTGTAATACTATTAATTCTATTTTCCTGTTACAGAAAATTGCTTTATGGTGTAAATGAAATTACTGTGAAAGTGCCTTCTGTTTTCAAGCTTCTAATTAAAGAGGTAAGACCGTATAGAACTCAATATTTGTGATCAGTGAATTTGTCTATTAAGAAAGAGTCACAATTAAGCAATAGAATATTCTTGGTTTCTGTTTGCTAACTTTGCTTGCCATTTTACAATGGGAAAACCTTGGCAGAGAAGAATTTGGGGTATGAATTTTTTATTTTGTTTAATTCTGTTTTTATTGAGTTTTTTAAATTTTCAAAAAGTTGCACATGTAAACCTTTTTCTATGTTACAGATGTAATACCTTTCTTCCTTTTTAAGAAAAAATTGTCTGTTTTCTTCACATGGTATTTCATGGTACATTATTGGAGACTAAGCATTGTACCAGAACTTTGAAAATCAGCACATGACATGTATGATGCTTGATCTTGAGGAACTTGCACTGTATTCTGGGAAGAACCATGTTAGTGGTTATTGTGATGAGGGTTTGTTTGTGCCATTAGAAGCATGAATAAAAGATAATGGGCATGTCAAGGCAGGGGTTACAGACTAACCAGCAGAGGAAGACTTGCTTTCCCTATTTTTTTCTGTCTTTTTTATTTTGAAAGCATTTTCTCTGCTGTTTTTTAATCTACAAAATTAGAATAAGTTCTTTCTAAATATCTCATGGTTTTGAGTAAAGTGGAACTGTATATATGAAAGTGCTTTAAAAAGTATAGAATCAGTGTTAAGACATCAGAGAGGTTATTAATGAAATTGATAAAATACCATGAAATTTGGTTAGATGAATTTTATTGTCAGGGCTCCCTTATTTTATTTTTATTCAGGATTTAATCCTTAATTTCCTTTAAGAAATAAGAATAGTTTAACCAGTATCTCCTATTTGTTTTCCCTTTGAACTTTGACCTTTTGGCATGAGTAGATTTGTTCCATTTGATAAAAGTTTTGTATCTTTACAAATACTGAAAGGCTGGTTCCACTATTCTTTCTTTTTTAAAAAATAATTTTTTACTTGTAGATGGGCACAATACCTTTATTTATCTTTTATTAGTCCAGAGCATATTAATTATTGAAAACAAATGTATTTTATTACTGAAGCAGAATGCAGAACAACTATTCATATACTTCAGCTTTTTCTATGCAAATCATTCAAATCAGGCCAAATTCTAGTAATTTCTTGGTAAATAAGCATATACAGCCAGGCATGGTTGTATTGCATACCTATAATCCCAACTACTCAGGAGGCTGAGGCAGGAGAATTGCAAGTTCAAAATCAGCCTGGGCAACTTAGCAAGATCCTATCTGAAAATCAAAAAGGGCTGTAAACATATCTCTGGTAAAAGAGTCTCTGAGTTGGTTTAATTCCCAGTTCAGAAAGAAAGAAAGAACATACTAATATACTGCCCTACTCTTTAGAGTAATACATGTTGCCCTAGGCTACTACAGAGTTTATATCTAGTTAAGGTCGGGAATCTACATGGTTGTAAATATGTCATTCAATTTACCTTTCAAAAAAAATATATTTTTTTTTTAGGTTCTCAATCCATTTTACATTTTCCAGCTGTTCAGTGTTATACTGTGGAGCACTGATGAATACTATTACTATGCTCTAGCCATTGTGATTATGTCCATAGTATCAATTGTCAGCTCCCTATATTCCATTAGAAAGGTGAGTCAAAATTTATGGTTTTAGAACTATATTTGTATTTTGTGATAACCCGATAAAGGTATGGAATAGTATTTGATACAAAATGAATACTCAATAGTCATTATTTTAGCTTAATGGATTTATAAGCCCTTGTGCTTTTTTTTTTTTCTTTTTTAAGGTTAGGGAAGCTAGATTTGTTTTAGAATTAGATTACCTACCACTTGACTATGGGAAATCTAGTTGCTTGTCACAGAGTGGAATACTGAAAGGCTGGTTCCACTATTTTTTTTCTTTCTTTTTTTAAATAGTTTTAGTTGTAGATGGGCACAATACCTTTATTTTATTTTTATGTGGTGCTGAGGATTGAACTCAGTGCCTCATATGTGCAAGGTAAGGTAAGTGCTCTACCACTGAGCCACAATCCCAGTCCCACCACTATTTTCAGAACTATTGCAGAGTACTTTTTTTTTGTTGTTTGAGAGAAAAAAGTGAATGATCCTTCAATCACTGATTCTTGACATTTTTATAAAGGTAGAGTACTACGTATTTATCATATTAATGTACCTTATATTTTAGCATTCTTTCTAGTGTATTTAGAAGTTGATTTATATTGGCTGTTTTAAATTTCTTTTCCTCTTTCAGCAATATGTTATGTTGCATGACATGGTGGCAGCTCACAGCACTGTGAGAGTTTCAGTTTGTAGAGTAAATGAAGGTAGGTATTTCCGGTGACAGTTAAGAATTTTTAAAAAATGACCATTAAGTGCTAAAGTGTAAAGTAAATCCAAATTATACATTTGTTTTTTAAAAGAGGTAAATATACGTGTTTGGATTCCTGAGTTTATATCTAATTCCTTCATTTATGTAAATTTAAAATTTTCTTTTTCTACAATACAAAAAGGTAGTATAGTGTATGCACTATGCGCTCTAGGGATTTCGTCTTCTTGGAAAGACAGATGTTAAACAGTAACAATAAGGTGTGATAAGTGTGCCAGGTGTAATGGTGCACACTTGTAATCCCAAGGACTCGGGCTGAGGCAGGAGAATTACAAGTTTGAGGACAGCTTGGGCAGCTTAGTGAGAACTTGTTTCAAAACAAAAAGAGTGGGGGCATAGATCAGACGTAGAGTGCTTGCCTAGCATGTGTTAGGCCCTTTGTTTGATCCCTAGCAACACACACACACAAGTAACACACATAGTGTGATAAATGCCATGATACCTAGAGGTCATTTACTGCAGGTATCAGGGATAGCTTCTTTGAGGAAGTGGTTTTAAGTGGTGACTATTTGAATTGGCCAAATAAGATGAGAAATTGGTAAAGTGAAGGACAGAGAGGGAGAGAAGAAGATTCTAAGTGCCTAAAGGCCAGAAATTGCAAATTGTGTGGTCATTATAAGAGCTGAAAGAAAATCAGTGTGGCACATATAGTAAGTGGATGATGGGCAAGGCATGTTAAGGAATTTGAACTCAATCCAACAGCAAGCCATTGAAGGACTCCTTTGTGGGTCCTAATGTTTTATGGTACACTGAAAAGAACGGAATTTTAAGTAGTGCTAAAGCTTTAAGAAAAATAAAGTCTTAATTTTATTTTTTTGTACCAGGGATCGAACTGTTAACCACTGAGTCACAATCCATTTGCTTTTTTATTTGGAGACGGTCTCCCTGAGTTGCTTAGGGCCTCTAAATTGCTGAGGCTGGCTTTGAACTTGCAATCTTTCCTTCCTCAGCCTCCTGAGCTGCTGGGATTACAGGCGTGCACCATCACACCTGCCAAAGGTCATGGTTTTAAAATAAGGCTTTTATTATAAAAAATGAATTAAATATCATTCTTTAAAAGTTGTTTAGTCAAAATTTAAACTATATCCTCTTTTATAAGAGAAGTATTTGTCATATAGACTAATATTGCAAAACAATAGTGTTTTTCCTCACCCATCTTTGTATTCAAACTAATGTGACTCTCCTGCAAACAATATTAAATCTGGGGGGCTGGGAAATGAAGAAGTAAGAGGAAGAGAGAATGCTTAAATATTAGGTGACTCAAGAAAAACCTCTTGTCCTTTGGAAGATCTTTTTAAAAAGTGTTTAGCTAATTTAGATTTTCAAGGAAATAATACACAAGGTAAAATGTTATAATGCTTAATTTATTTAATAAATTTAGTCATATTTAAAATAATATGTAAAAAGACTAAAGAATATTGAAGGCTGTGAGACATTAGGGTTATAAATAGTATAAAAAGAATATTGGAACTGGTATTCAGAAATAGTCTATGGATATATCTTTCATGTGCAAATTTTCAAATGCTGTCTATTTCACACACACATACCATACATAGAAGAATATTATAATAAAAATACTCTTTAAAATATGCTGAATTTTTAATGTTTTCATGTTAATAGAAATTCGAGTTTGACCTGTTTCAGTGACTCTTCTGTAGATGCAATGTGTTTATTTTCTGAGATGGATGGATGGATATGTTATAGCTAAAATTGATCATTCACAGGTGTCATGAATGTTATAGTGTAAACACAGGCACTTGTCATCACCTGTACACAGTTTATCCTGTCAGGAGACAAACTGACACACCCATGCTTTGTTGGTTTAATCCTATTTCTCAAAACATTGGATTTATGAGTATTTTTGTGTTAACACTAAGATCAGGAGACCTTTGAGTGGATCATTGATTTGTTTGCCCTGCTTTTATTTCAAGTTTAAGGATATTCTTTTCAGATTTTTCTTTCTTAAAATTCAGAAATAGAAGAGATATTTTCTACAGACCTTGTGCCAGGAGATGTGATGGTCATTCCTTTAAATGGAACAGTCATGCCTTGTGATGCAGTACTTATTAATGGTACTTGCATTGTAAATGAAAGCATGTTAACAGGTGAGTTAAACCAAACCAATAAAATTGTATCAATCGTTTATAACTGATACTAACATTAAATAGTTAACTGTTTAAACAAAATTAACTGTCATGTATATCTTTTACTCATAAATGTGCGTAGACCAAATTCTGCAAAATACTTAGCTGTGATCCTAAATAACCATGCTGGTATTGGCTACGTGTGTTGGCCTGTCTCTTGTTTTTTTTTTTTTTTTTTTTTTTAAAGAGAGAGTGAGAGAGGAGAGAGAGAGAGAGAGAGAGAGTTTTTAATATTTATTTTTTAGTTCTCGGCAGACACAACATCTTTGTTGGTATGTGGTGCTGAGGATCGAACCCGGGCCGCACGCACGCCAGGCGAGCRCGCTACCGCTTGAGCCACATCCCCAGCCCATCTTGTTATTTTTTTAAAATATTTATTTTTTAGTTTTAGGTGCACACTTTATTTTACATTTGTATGGTGCTGAGGATCAAATCCAGTGCCTCATGCATGCTAGGCAAGCACTTTACCACTGAGCCACATCCCAGCCCCATCTCTTGCTATTTTTTGACATAAGGAAATGGTTTATAGTAAGGAAAGAAGAAAAATCCGTTGCCTACAGAAAACATAACATATTTGCCTCCATGTTTGTTTTGTAAAAAATGGGAATACATAATAATTTATATTTATGCTAAACTGGGGAAACGTAGACTTTTAAAAAAGTAGACTACCTCCAGACCATAATATGGAGGTAGATATTTATATCTTTTTAAATATGTGAATGTAGTCAGTTTGACAAGAAGATGTTTCCTATATAACCTTAGGAAACTAGAGTTTTGTATTAAAATACACAATCACATATACGCTTTAGTATACAGTGCCTCCTTTGAACCAAATGATATAAATGGTACAGAGAACTAAATTTTGAAAAGAATTTGGCTGTTAGAGATTGCTTGGGATAACCCCCAAACTCCTTATTTTTATCTCCCTTGCCCAGATGCCTTTTCCTTATATGTGTGTGTGTGTGTGTGTGTGTAGGGGTTGGCTAGCCATGGGTATTCATATTATAGGGTATTTGAGGTAACAGTGCTTTCTAGTTCCATTGTTAGGGGTATAAGAACAGGTGCTAGGGTATTGCAACTACCCTGGTCATCTTCAAAATTATTTGAAACTCGATAGCACTATCATTTCCAAATATAGACAAATAATACCTTTTAGTCACAGATCTCTTTCTGGAATTTGTATGGGAGACAAAACTTCATATCTAGGTGACAAAGTTCAGAGAAAAAAGGCTAATTAATTCAGCTGTAATTCTTAACAACTATTGTAAGCAGTACTCTAGTATTTATAGTATTTCACAATTTAAGGTTTTTATGTTTGGTACTAATTCTGTGTGTGCTTTCATTTAATTTAATAATTTGTGATTTTTTTTTTAAATAGGAGAAAGTGTTCCAGTGACAAAGACTAATTTGCCAAATCCTTCAGTGGATATAAAAGGAATGGGTGAGGAAATATATAGTCCAGAAACACATAAACGACACACTTTGTTTTGTGGGACGACTGTTATTCAGACTCGTTTCTACACTGGAGAGCTCGTCAAAGCCATAGTAGTTCGAACAGGTAGAAAATACATCTCTTGCATATTTTAGCCTGTTTGATACCTGTTGAATGTTTAAAAAGATATTCTGTTCTGGGAGATAATTGTTATTTCTGTATAGAAAATGTAAGTAATTTTAATTTCTTTCTTTCTTTCTCTTTTTTTTTCGTGGGGGAAAGGATTTAGTACTTCCAAAGGACAGCTTGTTCGTTCCATATTGTATCCCAAACCAACTGATTTTAAACTCTACAGAGATGCCTACTTGTTTCTGCTGTGTCTTGTGGCAGTGGCTGGCATTGGGTTCATCTACACGATTATCAATAGCATTTTAAATGAGGTATGTATGAGGGCTCTTACTAGGGTTGATCCTTAACTATTTACCACATGTGACTGTTGAGAATTTTGAAATGTGACTAGTAAGACTGAGGAACTAAATTTTTAAGCTAATTTAAAGAAGACATATGAACCTAATGTTATTGTATTACAAAGAACAAATATAGGATATTTCTGTCATAGCATTCAGGGGTTTTTGTTTTTTTCTTTCGTTCTTTTTTTTTTTTTTTGATGACTCTGGGTTAGATGGGCTTTTACTTGCCATTTTTTTTTTGAGCGGGGAGGCGCTAGGGATTGAATGCAGGGCTTTGTGCCATGTAAAGCAAGCACTCTACCAAATGAACTATATCCCTAGTCCCTCTTGCCTATTTGTGACTTTAAAAAAAGAAAAAGAAAAAAAAAACACATAAACCAGAAACTTTATTTTTTATCTTTGGGATAGAATATACAGAATAAATTTATTTTTTGAACATTTAATTGAAAGGATCTTGTAATATCTCTTTTTTTTTCCCTGGTAGAGACTGGGTCAGTATGGCGCTTACCAGATGAACTATATCTGGCAGAGTTTGTTGAACTTGTTTTAGAAGTGTGCCTTGTGAAAAATGTAGGAGTATAAAAATATAACTGTCAGAAGTTTCCTGTAGCTGGGATTTTACAGTTCTCTTGACCATTCATTGAGTTTCTATTTTGTAGAATCTCTGAAGGAAGAAAAATTAGATATCATAATAGATGTGTATATGTATGTATAAGTATACATATATACACTTGTAGCTACACACATGCTTATATCAAATTAAAAATGTTTATAGACTTATTGAATAAATATCCACATTAATTTAGTAAATATTTAATATGGGGTTTGACATTTAGTTTTTGTTTCATTTGCAGGAAGAAGTTGGGGTAATAATTATAGAGTCTCTTGATATCATTACAATTACTGTGCCACCTGCACTTCCTGCTGCAATGACTGCTGGAATTGTGTATGCTCAGAGAAGACTGAAAAAAGTTGGTATTTTCTGTATCAGTCCCCAACGGATAAATATATGTGGACAGCTGAATCTTGTTTGTTTTGACAAGGTTGGTTCAGTTTCATAATTGTTCTCAAAGGTTACTGGGTAGCTTTTAAATATTTAGATTGCTTTCATTTTTCTTTGTCAACAAATTTACAGTCATTTTTTTAATGTTTCTAATTTTCCTCTTTCTCAGTTTGTTTACTTATATATCTTTTTTTWAATATTTTTTAGTTTCAGGTTTACACAATTTCTTTCCTTCCTTCCGTCCTTCCTTCCTTGATCGAACACAGCACCCCGTGCATGCCAGGCGAGCGCGCTATTGCTTGAGCCACATCCCCAGCCCTATACATCTTTTTTATATTTTTTTATTTTCTCAATTTTTAAAGCTTTGGGATGTTACTTATTTGCTCAAATCTGCAATTGATTAAGTACATCCAGTATTATGCCTTGTTCTGTGGTAATAAGTAAGCTGGGCACAGTGGCATGCACTTTTAGTTCCAGTGCTTGGGACAACATCTGAGACAGGGCTCTCCTAAGTCCACAGGTTTGAGGTCAGCTTTGGCAACATAGCAAGAACCTGTCTCAAACAAAAATAATAACAAAAAAGGTTCAAATATAGTAGCAATAAGTGTAAAAATTATGTGAATTTTGTATTTTTAGGTAGTCTTAATTTAACAGAATAGGCTCCATAGACACATTTGCTATCATTTTTTTTATTTGCTCATAAGTATATGTGTTTAATGTTGCTCTAATTTTGAGTACATGTTGCAAAATTATGAAGGTCAGAAATTTTATGAAAATAACAAATTGTGTACTTTTGTAAGATATGTTTTCTCTTAATGTTTCTCTATTTTTTTTTTGGTACCAGGGATTGAACCCAGTGGCGCTTAACTACTGAACCACATTCCTAGCCCTTATTTACTTATATATTATATTTTATTATACATACGCATTTATTATATTTGGAGACAGGCTTCAGTAAGTTTCTGAGGCTAGCTTTGAACTTGCGATCCCAATCCTCATGCCTCAGGCTACCTAGCTGCTAGGATTACAGGTGTGTGCYACCATGCGTGGCCTATTTCTCCACTCTGGAAGGGAAGTTAGGTATTGCTGAAAGATTAAACTAGAAAACCTTTCTTCAAACTGTTTCTAGGTAACTGATAAAATAATTTGATTTTTTGAGTACTTTATTTCTAAACATGAGAAATGCATGTTTTACTTAACACCAAAAACCCAATCAATAAATGGGCAAAGGAACTGAGCAGGCACGTCACAGAAAGAAGAAACGTGATTAGTCAACAAATATATGAAAAAATATCTAACATCTCTAACAGAAATGCAAATTAAAACTACATTGGGATTCTATCTCATTCTAGTCAGGCAATTATCAAGAATGCAACTAACAATAAATGCTGGCAAGGATGTGGGGAAAAGGTACATTCATACATTGCTGGTGGGACTGCAGATTGGTGCAACCACTCTGGAAAGCAGTATGGACAGTCCTCAGAAAACTTTTGATGAAACCACTATTTGACTCAGTTATCCCAATCCTCACTTTATACCCAAAGGACTTAAAATCAGCACACTACAGTGATGCTGCCACATCGTGTTTATAGTACCTCAATTCACAATAGCTGAACTATGGAATCAGCCTAGGTGCCCTTCAACAGATGAATGGACAAAGAAAATGTGGTACATTTACATAATCAAATGCTATTTAGCCATAAAAAAATTAAGTTATGGCATTTACTGGTAAATAGATGGAACTGGAGACTATCATGCTAAGTGAAATAAATCAATCCCAAAGAACCAAAGACTGAATGTTTTCTCTGATATGTGGACACTAAATCACATTAAGGTGGGGGAGGGTAGGGAAGAATAGAACTACTTTGGATTAGACAAAGGTGGATGAAGGGAAGGAAGAAGGAATGGGAATAGGAAGTAGAAAGAAATCAGACATTACTTTCCTATGTGCTCATATAAATACATGACCAGTGAATGTAATTCTACATCATGTATAACCAGAAGAATGAGAAGTTAAACTCCTTATGTGTATGATAAGCCAAATATATTCTGCTGTCATCTATAATTAATAAGAACAAATTATGTACTGTATACTAATGTTATTCTACAACATGTACAATCAGAATAATGAGAAACTATGCTTCATTTATGTATGTTATATAAAAGTGCAAACATGTTTTCTGTTTGTCATGTATAACTAGAACAAATTTTAAAAATTAAAAAAAAGTATGTTTTGAAAAAAATTAAAAGGTTATATATTCCCATCACTTTTATTTATCTCTTCAAAAAATTTGTTTATGGTGTGTGTGTGTGTGTGTGTGTGTGTATGTATGTGTGTATGTAAGAGTGCTGGGGATTAAAACCTAGGAGCTCACAAGCATGTATAAGTACATGCTGTACCATTGAGCTGTTCCGCAGCTCTTGGAATCTTTTGTATTAAAGAAGTTAGTTAATAGATGCAAAAGTGGAGAAAAGATACAGGTATAATAAGCTCTCATCTACTTATAAAGAGTTATCAGCATTTTATCTCTTACCCCACCTATTCTCTCCTTGTGAAGGAGCAGCATCAGACATTGTAACATAACATCTACACCAGTAATTACCTACATATGTCTGGAAAATAAGATGCTTAAAAAAAGAAGTCATTACCACACCACCTCTATCACACTTTTAAAGTTTAACAGTTCTTAAGTTTTGTCTAATATCCATTCATATTCAGATTTCATTGCCTATCTCAAAAAATGTCTCATATTTAAAGGTGGGATTTTTGTATTGCATTGGTTACATAACTAATCTTTACCTTTCTTTCTCTCTCAACCTTAATCATTTTGTTGAAGAAACCAGGTCATTACATCTGGACTTAACTTCTTCCCCCAATACCATTTAACTTAACTTCTCTGGACTCCCTATACCCTAAGCCATCTCAGCATTATAGGTATTGTTTACTGACTAATACATTGATTGGTGCATTCTTTTTATAATATAAGCACATAAACATACGATTGTTCAGATATGTCCACTTCACTCCTACATGGTAGGGCCATATACTGACTACTGTTCTGAACCTTGCTTCTTATTTTAACCCTTTGTCCTAGAGACATTCTCTGTTAGTAATTGGTGATCTTTCCTGTTCTTTTCTTTCTTTCAGATTCTTTATAGTACTCCATTGTGTATATGTAGCATAGTTTTTAATGATATGTGTGTGCATTTTCTTATTTCTTGAGGTATAATCCTTACTTTGTGCATATGTGCTCTTTTTATTTTAGACTGGAACGCTTACTGAAGATGGTTTAGATCTCTGGGGGATTCAACGAGTAGAAAATGCCCGGTAAATATCAGCTGGATTTGATAGTTTATTAGTTAATTTTTCATATTTTAGCACATGCAGCATTCAGTTATATAACAAATAAAATGAGACAACTGCATAACTACTGCCAAACTGAACAGTTATCATTTTGCCATATTTACTTTAGATCTTTACTTTTATTGTGGGGGGGGTGGGTATAAGGGATTGAACCCAGGGGTACTCAATCAGTGAGCCATAATCCTAGCCTGTTTTATATAGAGAAAGGGTCTAGCTGAGTTGTTAAGGGCCTTGCTAACTTGCTGAGGCTGTCTTTGAACTTGTGATCCTCCTGCTTCAGCCTCCTTAGCCAATGGGGACTATAGGAATGCACCACTGTGCCTGGCTATATTTACTTTTAAAAGATTAAAATATTAAAGAAATTGTGTAGATATTAGAGTCCCACTCTCCCTTTCCCTGTTGCTACTACCATTCTTAAATTATTTTTATTTTTGTATATTTTATATTTTTATTACCTACATAATCTGAATAAACATACATGAGTGGAATGCTGTGTTTTTGCAGCTTTTTCTGCCTTTTAGATTGTTTTTAATATTTATTCATGTTGATATGTAGATCTAATTTATTAATTTGAATAAAATTATTCTGATATATAATTAAACATAATGTCTGTTCTACTAAGACAATATCATTTTTTCTCCTTGCACTTTAACCATAATGCTACAATTAAAATTCTTGGACACAGCTTGTGACATGTGACTGAGTCTACATAAGCAGATCCTTGTAGGTGGTAGCCTGGATTTGGCTTCAGCTGTGCTACCAGATATTGCCTGTTCGCTGCCTGGTGATGGTAGTTCTTATTTACACTCTCCCTCAATAAAGAAGATTACACTCTCCCCGTTGCTTCATATCCTTGCTTAAATTTAGTTTTGTTGGACTTGTAATTTTAGCTGAATGAACAGATATGAAATGGACATTTATTATTACTTTATTTACATTCTTCTCATTACTTACAAAGTTAAGCATCTTCATATTTTTGGGGAGGAGAGTCATTTGTCATTCTCTCTGTTACCTATTTAAAACTTTTTGTGTGGTTATTCTTTTCCTTATTGTTAGAAGTCATTTGTATTTTCTGGGTTTTATATTAAATTTTTTTAGTACTGTGCATTGCACATTCCCTTAGGCTCATCTATTTACTTTTTTTTGAAGCTCAGAAGTTCTAGTACTATAGTTGTGCTTATATCATTTTTTTAAAATTTTTTTTATTTTTTTATTTTTTTTTTAAAGAGAGAGTGAGAGAGAGAGAAAGAGAGAATTTTTAATATTTATTATTTTTTTTAGTTCTCAGCAGAGACAACATCTTTGTTGGTATGTGGTGCTGAGGATTGAACCCGGGCCGCACGCATGCCAGGCGAGCACGCTACCGCTTGAGCCACATCCCCAGCCCCCTTATATCGTTTTTTAATCCCCTTAGAAATCTTCCAGATTTGGGTTTATATATTTTGACAGACTGTATTATTTGGTTTTGTAATTTTAAGAGTTGTATCTTCTTGCTTGTTTATCTCAGTAACACATATTACCTTAAATTCTATTTCGTTTAATATTTATGTAGCTACACACAGCTTTCTTTTGCCTAACACTTGCCTATTGTTATCGATTTACATATAAATATATTTAGATATATTTGAAATTATTTCTACTATCCTTCATCCCAAATTATATGCATATTTTTTTATTTTCTACTATTTCACTGTCTCATTTTCTCGGAATTTATGCATCCTTTTCTTTGCTGCTGGTTCTTAATTTCTGCCTTCTGAAAACCCAGACAATAGATTACTTTTATCCTTCTTATTCCTCTCCTTTCTTAAGTATATTTATTACATAGTGTTTTATGATTTTGATTTTATAAAGTCTGCGTGTTTAGATTTGCCATTTTAAAAAGTTTCATTCCTCTGGATTAAGTTATCATTTTATGCAACTACATTCTATCATTTTATGCAACTACATTCGTGTATTTTATTTCATTGTCACTCTTGAATGATTGTGTAACTATACAGGTATCTAGGTTGTCATTTCTGTTTTCTCATTATTTTGAAGGTGTTACTTCATTTCTCCTGACACTTTTGTTTTGTATGTGTCTATAGCTTTGTTTCCTATTCCTGTATTATATTAAAATCCAAGTCCTTGGAGTATAGAGATGGCTTCCTCCCTCACGGGCCACAGCATCAACTCATGTGCACAACCTTCCGCTTTTCCTTTCCCTCTTTTTCTGGCACTTGGAACACTTCCCTTTCTTAGGAGATCAGTTTTGGATTTAAAAGTTTGTCTCTCTTTCTCCAGCCCCTGCACTGGGGCTCAAACTCATGTATCCCCAACCCTTTATATTTTTTTAAAATTTTGAGTCAGGGTCTCACTAAGTTACTTAGGCTGGCTTTGAACTTGCAGTTGTCCTGCCTCAGCCTCCTGAGTCACTGGGATTACAGATGTGTTCCACTGTGCCCAGCTTGGATTTAAAAGGGTTTTGTTTTTGTTTTGTTTTTTTAAGTGAAGTCTTGCTGTGTTGACCAGGCTGATCTCAGATTTGTGATCCTCCTGCCTGAGCTTCTCAAGTAGCTGAGATTATAGGCATGTGACACCTTACCTGGCTTGAAAGTATACAAAACTGAAATTGCTTGTTAGAATATTGTCTTGAGTCTAGGGATTTATGAACCTAATTCAGTGTATTTTCTGTTTAGATTTCTTTTACCAGAAGAAAATGTTTGCAATGAGATGTTGGTAAAATCTCAGTTTGTTGCTTGTATGGCTACCTGTCATTCACTTACAAAAATTGAAGGAATGCTTTCTGGTGATCCACTTGATTTAAAAATGTTTGAAGCCATTGGATGGGTAAGTTCAACATTTTAAAATATAAGTAACTTCAAAAAAATTATATTAAAATTAAATTACTCTACAGTAGGATTATTTCTGTTGGTAGTTTTGATAACAGTCTATCTTAAAACTGTAAAAAAGAATCAACTATGAAATTTCTAATGATGGAGAAATATTTCTAATTGAATGAAAAGTATCTGTTTCAGCTGAATTAACACATTTAAATACCTTTAATAGAGGCTGATCACTTAGGCTGTGTTTAATGTTTATAAAGTAATTCAGGTATCTGTAGCTGGTCTAAGTATGTTAGAAGTCAATAAGGAGGACCTTAAATTAGTCAGAAGGATGACTTCAGACCTCAATTTCTTGGCATTTTTCAGTTTCCTTCTGTTTTGCCACTGGTAATTTTAATTTGTAAGTACTTATGGTTTTTACACTTTGACAGCATTCACTTCTTGTTTTTTTTAGGTGGGGGGGACTGTGGATTGAACCCAGGGGGTGTTTAATTAACCACAGTCTTGCTAAGGTGCTAAGTAAGGGTCTTGCTAAGTTGCTGAGGCTGGCTTTGAAGCCTCCAATTTGCTGGAATTATAGTCGTGTACCACTGCATTCAGCTACAGCATCCACTTCTTTTATAGGTGCAATAATAGTTTTTTAAAGATCCTTTCTAGCTTCTGAGTTATTCATTTTATCTGGGAACATTTCCCCTGTTCCCCCTTTGTTTGTTTTTGGTTTTTATTATTCAACTGGATGTTACTTTGCTATTCAAGTTTGAAGGTCTGATTTGATAATTCTGGGCAGTTGCAGTCAGATTTTTATTTTTGCCCATATGTCTCTTTTAAATCAGTTTTTATTAATCAGTATTTGAGTTTGCCTTTTGTTTACTATTTGAAATCTGCTCCAGCCCCTTCTTTGTTTTCTTTTTGTTGTTGTTTTTGTATTTTGTTAACATTTTGAAAGGGAGGGAGGTGGATGATACATACTCTGTCTGCCATCATTGAAAGTTCACAGTAAGTACTCTACAGATTTAATTCCTGAAGAGGCGCCTCACTTTATTTATAGAGAGAGAAGCAAAATGGGTTGATTTATCTTTTTTGTTCTTTAATGCTTTTCTGTAGTAAATGGGTTTTCAGTAGATTTAGTGTTCAATGTTTGATCTTTTGAAAAAATTGTATAAATAAATTTGCATAATAGCATTTTTGTAGATCCTGAGATGTTTTGATACTTGACTTGATAAGATCTTATATATCAGTTGATGGTTTCATATAACCAGGCACGAATGATCCTTGTAATTAATGTCATAAAAGTTACATCCCAATTCCAGAGACTTTAACATGTAGAGAGAAATAGAATTATATAAGATTGGTTAATTGGTCACAATTTTCCTCATTTTTTCACTGATAAATCACTTCAGTTATAGTCAAATTAGTGTGTTGTTTCTCTTGAAAACAAGTTTAATATAGGGTTTTGTTTGAGTTAATTTATTTATTTGATGTTGGGGATCAAATCCAGGGCCTTGAGCATGGTAGGCACATATTCTACCATTGAACTATATACCCCCATTTGAATTTGTTTTTTTTTTTTAACCAAGGAAAATGTTTTTAAAGTAAATTTCAGGGGATTAAGGTAGTACTAGCCTAACAAGAAATGTTCATACTAAAACTCTAAACTCATATTTTGGTGCCTTAATCTGTTCTCTACCTGTTCTATTAACTATATCTGTGAGCTCCATATACTGTGGAATCTTCTCCTGTTGGAGGAAAGGAGTCCTTAGGAGCTGCAAGAACTCTGTTTTCACAGAGCTATTACCTAAACCCAGTAGGTTATAGGAGCAAAATGAGAGATGTTTTTCTCATTTCTTTTTTCAACTTCAAACCTCGTGTCTCCCTTATATCATGTGTTGCTAGGTATCTAACTAGTTCTCTTTGTATTTTGTTTTACTTATGTGAGATAGCAGGGTTTTTTTTTAATTGACTGAAAATGGCCATTAATTCCATTTAAAAATGTATTCAATGAACTGAATTTTATGAAGTGATACAGTGAGTTGCCGCAGTCTGGCTGGGCACAAAATCACGAGCCACTCACAGCTTTGTAGATTCAAATAGCAATTCTTTATTCCTGAACTCACACCGGCCCTCTCCATGTTCTTCTCCAAAATTCACGTACTCCACCAGGCTTTGAATCCCAAATACTTTCTGAATCCCACGAGAACTCTACAGGAACTCAAGGATCGGGTGTGCCTGAGGCAGCAGGATAGCCCTATTCCTGGCAGGGTACACCTTAAACCTGGAACTGCCCTAAACTCAAGGAGCGGGATACTCCCTAAAACCTGATCCGCCCTAAACCCGGATCTGCCCTGGTTCTTGAGCAAGGTCACCTTACTCAAGCATACATGCAATGTCACTGCAAATGATCTGAGTCTAAGACAAGTCCATTTCCACAATGGAGAGTCCTTCCTCTAAGCAACATGGGGTACGCTGGCAAGGAAATTTCGATGCGTCATTCCTACTTGGCAGTGGCTCTCAGCAGTGAATATTTTCCTTCCAGATTCTGGAAGAAGCAACGGAAGAAGAAACAGCCCTTCATAATCGAATTATGCCCACTGTGGTTCGTCCTCCTAAACAGCTGCTTCCTGAATCTACACCTGCAGGAAACCAAGAAATGGTGCGAAATTGCTTAATGCTGGATAGTATTATTGATGCATCCTTAACGTTTAATTGTCATTTTGAAATATTGCTAGAAGAGGGAGTCAGATGTCTTTCTCCTATGCAGACATCTATGTTTTAGTTGATTTATCAAACTATACCTTTGGTGTGCTATGTGCATTCTTTATAAAATGTTGAGATTTAATTCTCATGCCATTACTTTTCTTTCCTGTATAGTGAGCAGCTTTTAGTGTCTTATGACTTACATACATGATCATTAATCTTTAAAATTACATCTGTATACCTAGAATTTCATGAAAAGAATATTTAAGTAATGTCTTAATGAGAAAAATCTTTAAGTGATTTTTAAAATTTTCCCTTGTAGCATTTAATGTTTTAATATTTCTAGGATACTAGAGTATTTGAAAATTTTCAAGAACATAATGGTAGAGAAGGAATATCAAGTCTTGACTTTCAAATAATGAGGGATCCTTGATACTCTCCCAGTGTTTGTGGATGCTTAAAGTTTTTTCTAACTTGACTACATTGATTGGCTTAATCTGTACTCTTTTCTTTTGGTTTTAGGAGCTGTTTGAACTTCCAGTAAGTGAAGAACATTTATTTGTTACCTAAATGCATTTGTTTTTATTGTTAAAGAATAATAAATGCTTTGTGCATCTTTTGAAATTATATAGGCTATTTATGAGATAGGAATTGTTCGCCAATTCCCATTTTCTTCTGCTTTGCAACGTATGAGTGTGGTTGCAAGGGTGCTAGGGGATAAGAAAATGGATGCCTACATGAAAGGAGCCCCTGAGGTCATTGCCAGTCTTTGTAAACCAGAAACCGGTAAGGAAATGACTAGGATTTGGATAAAATTCTGGTATTTCTGTAAGCTGGTATTAGTAGTGTTAACTGTGAAATTTACTTTTTCTTTTAAAAGTTCCTATTGATTTTGAGGAAGTTTTAGAAGATTATACTAAACAAGGCTTCCGTGTGATTGCTCTCGCACATCGAAAATTGGAGTCAAAACTGACATGGCATAAAGTACAGAATATTAGTAGGTAAGGTTGGACAGCTGTTCCTACGGTTTTCTCAGTAATGCATCATATATGTTTATATGTCAGAAAATACACATCTTTATTGAATGTATGCAAGTATATGCACGTGCATTTATAATGCAATATGGTTTGAGACGACTGAGGTAAAAGTACATTTTTTTCCAATATCTAATTTCCTTTTATTTTTAAAATTAATTATTTATTTTTAATAAACTTTCTTTTTTTTCTTTTCTTTCTGTATTTTTATGTGGTGCTGAGGATCAAACCCAGTACCTCATACATGCTAGCCAGGTGCTCTACTGCTGAGCCACAATCCCAGCCTCTAATTTCCTTTTATTTTATATTGACTTTTTGCCTATATTATAACATTGTATGTTTTTCCTTAAAAATGATTGAAACTACTTTAAATTTGTTAAGTATCAAGTGTTTACTGTGTGTCAGGCATGTTCTTGAAACATTGAGCAATTCTATAGAAGTTTTTTCTTCCCAGATGATCTTGTTTTGCCTAGTGTTTGGATCTAAACACTAATTTGGTAAAAAGTGTCATGAGTCACAGTACCCAATACCGTTCCTCCACCCCATTTATCTCTGCCTTTGGTCAAATGGCTTTACCAACATCACATTTCTTTCTATATATAAATATGGGTTTCACATTCAAGAATTGCTACTTTTTGCCCATGAGCAGTGTCACTTGCCTTTAATCCTAGTGACTTAGGAGGCTGAGGCAGGAGGATTACAAGTTCAAAGCCAGCCACAGCAACTTAGGGAGGCCCTAAGCAACTTAGTGACTCTGTCTCAATAAATAAAATGGGCTGGGAATGTGGCTCAGTGGGTAAGCACCCCTGGGTTCAATGTTCAATACCCCCCCCCCCGCCACAAAAAAAGAATTGTTATTTTTATTATAACTGGTTAAGACCTACCCCTTGAAGATAGAGTTTTTGTTTAGGAACCTTATGGTGTGCCTAATATTTTGCAAACAGAAAGAAATGTCCATTGGTTGTCCTGGTAATCTGTATATTTGGGGGTATTCTAAACATATGTTGGTTTTCCTGGTAATTCCATGTATTTGGGGGTATTCTAAGCATGTGTTTTTAAACAAAACAACTTCTACCTAGTGATCTGATGCACATGCATGGGCAGGAACCACAGATGTATTATACCTCCTAATTCCTGCAAAGGGCACATTTGTCTCTTTTTTTTTCTTTATTACTTCACCTTTTGCTGTTTTCCTCTTAAAGATTAATTGGTGAATAAGTTGTAGTTCTCTAGCTTTTCATGTTTCACAGAGCCTTCCAAGCCTGTCAATAGGTTGTTTCTTTTGCCCAGAATGTTCTGTCCCTCCCTATCAACTGTCTTTCTATTTCCTTTATTCTTCATCCTTTAGTCACCAAGACCTCTGTTTTTGCATTCTGCCTTACAGAAATAAGCCTTTCTCATAGCTTAATCTTTTATATCTTGAACAGTACAGTCTATTAGAGGTCATGATTTCCTTAACTTGTATTATTCACAGGTGAGTTAGGAAACCAACTGAAGCCAGGAAATAGAACCTTATAGGAAACCTGGTACTGTTGACCCAATAGTTTCACATTAGTACAACTTCATACTTAAGACAATATCAGGCTTCAAAGCTTTTTCTCCTTCCTTTACTACAGAGTGTCTTTCACTTTGTTTTCTATCTGTTCTTTAATATCTTTACTATTTATTGATATAGCATTTAGGTTGCATAAGTGTATACTCAGCTCCTTTACTATTGAATTTTTATGTAGACAAATTACTTAGCTAATTGCAAGTCTGAAATTCTAGTTGCTAACTTTAAGTCCCCTTTCCCTATTGAAAAACATTTCTATGGTTTGATTTTGGTAGGATGAAATTTCTTGAGAATGTGACTGTCATTGAACAGACTTCTTCATTATAACTCTGAAGTACACATTATTTTTGCATATTTCTCTAGTTACATGTCATTTCCCTCACTAAGTGTCTTAAAAGTAGTCATCATTTATGCCTTTTTGTCTTTCACCTCCCAGTGATTGGCATAGTGGTGACTAGCATAGTGCTGGTGCATTCAGCTATTTGAAGACTAGCATCTTGATAACTGTATTGATTATCAGTATTCTCAAAGGCTCATCTCTAGATCTTGAATAGATCTCATTGTTGTACTTCTAATGGTTCTTAAATTTTCTAGGATTAAGAATTCTATTTCTTAGAAATTTTATAGTATTGAGACATAATAATGAAAATAATATCAAATGTGCTTGTGGTACAGTTTTTTTCCCTTTTTCTCTTGACATTTAAATTAGGTTATATTTTATGAAGGACAGTAAAGAATATATTTATGCTTATATTTGGATAGGATATAAATGAACATTCCTAGAGTAGTATTCCTAGTGCTAGAATAGATTATTGTTTCACAAAGATATAGATTTCCAAATGTTCCTTGTTTTTCATGTTTCAAAGTGTGGAATTTTATTTCAATATTTCAAAAGTATAGTTCTTGGAAATTGTTTTCCAGGTTTAAATTTTTTTGAAATATAGAACTTAGATGCACACATGATTTACTCAGCATATAAAATGTTTTACTTTATAATTTATAGATTTTAAAATGTTTTATCAACATAAAGAGAACAACATTGTTCTCTTGACTAAACCATTATGTGTTAACACTTTTTTTTCCTGCAGAGATGCCATTGAAAACAACATGGATTTTATGGGATTAATTATAATGCAGAACAAATTAAAGCAAGAAACCCCTGCAGTACTTGAAGATTTGCATAAAGCCAACATTCGCACTGTCATGGTCACAGGTTAGACTTTGTAAAAGAACACAGAAGAAAATTGAATGTGGCTATAAAGTCCAAGTTATGTAATACTGAAGAATGATAAGTTAGTTATTAAAGTATATTATGTAGTGGCTCCATCCTACATTGTCCTGCTTCAGCTCTGAATATCTTTCCAAGGTTTAAGATAATCTTGGAGTACTCTTCTTCAGGTCTTGCAAATTCTGTTTATAAAAAGTATGATAAAATAATGAAGAAAACTATAAAATTTCCAACTTTCCTTTTTATTATTTCTTTAAATCATATTTGTATAGCACTTAACATACCTTGCTGTATATTAGTTACTTGTAAATTAGTTTGTTAATTAGTTACTTTCTCTAGAATATAAAATTATTGAGAATTAAGAGCACGTTTTATCCATTTTGAGCTCCTTTACAATTTTCAGACCTGCAAGGTATATAGAAAATTATTAATAGATACTTGTTAGAATTAGATTTATATACATAGGTGTGTATGCACATATATAAAATATTATCCTTACTTGAATTCATAATGACTTTCGAGGTTCATTTTGCTTTTTTGTCACAATATTTGATTTTCTTTGGTGTTTTTATACTGTTGAAAATGTTACATAATTTCTATTCTTTAGCTATGTGAAATTGTGCCAGCGCTTTTCATAGTAAATAATCAGGTTTAAATTACCTTACTTTTTGGCATTTGTGTGATCAGTAAGACTTTTTGAGAAAAAACCTGAGTACATTTTTATCTTTAACTCCCAAGATCTAATAGCATACTTCTTACTGCATGGCTTAAGATAACTAAATCTATCGGTGTTCTGAAAATTCTTAATTCTAATGTCTCCTTGAAGGCACTTTACATCTGTCTCCTTCTCCTTCGCCATGACAGAATGTGACTATTTCTCAAGGGCCACAGGAAGATACTCTAGGAAGTAGTCTATAGGAAATGGAGAAAGATATTTAACTCTTCAGTTCTGGTAGCAGTGGGATCCCCAAACCTTCGCCTATTTCTCCTGTCCTTGCTTCTCTTCAGTTCTTTCCTTCTCATGACGGAGAAGTTCTTTTATACTTCTTATTACATCTATTCCTATTACCTGTCTTAACTTTTTGTTTTATGTAGATTTTCTATCTCATCTTTTTCTGTGATACCACCCTAGTATTCTTCCTCCTAGGATATTTCAGTGTTTATTGTGCATCTGTTGTATATTTTGCACTGTGTTGTTTGTTATGAGACACAAATAGTGTCTGGAAAAGATTGTATTTGTATTTAGAAGTTGTGAGCAAGATTTTAGAATATATGTACTTTGCATCATTTGAGGCTTCCTTAATAAGTGTGCCTATTGATTTGCTTATTTTAAAATTTCCAAGGATAGCTGGGCACAGAGGCACATGTCTATAATCCCAACGACTCTAGAGGCTAAAACAGAAGGATTGCAAATTCAAGGCCAGCCTCAGAAAGTTAATGAGTCCCTCAGCAATTTAGCCAGACCTATGTCAAAATTAAAAATAAATAAATAAAAGACTCCCAAGGATCAAGGATGTAATCCTCATTCTTCCCAGCCCAGTCATAGCGACTCGATTTGATTCTCAGAAAATACTTGTTTGATACACATTCATGTTGTAATTTTAATCTTAATACATTGAAAATATTTTGAAAAATAGGTGACAACATGTTGACTGCTGTCTCTGTGGCCAGAGACTGTGGAATGATTCTACCTCAAGATAAAGTTATTATTGCTGAAGCATTACCTCCAAAGGATGGGAAAGTTGCCAAGATAAATTGGCATTATGCGGACTCACTAACACAGTGCGGTAATTCATCAGCAATTGACTCTGAGGTAATGTCAAAATTCTCTTTTGAAAACTTGCTTATTTGAATTTAGTCTGGAAAAAGAAAAATGGTGTATTAAAACAAAACAGAACAACAACAACAAAATCTAAATGAAAACAGAAACCTCAACTAACTTCCCAAAGATTCATTAGGACTGAGGAATCTCATTTTTCTTTTCTTTGAGTAAATGTTAAAGTTTTAGTGTCTTATATGAAATATATGGAATAATTTAGTTTTGGAGGAATTACATTTAACATAAGATTATGTTATTTGGTTTGGCTGTCTAAGTATTGTTCTGGATGTTTCATATACAGGCTATTCCAATTAAGTTGGTTCATGATAGCTTAGAAGATCTTCAATTGACTCGTTATCATTTTGCAATGAATGGAAAATCATTTTCAGTGATATTGGAGCATTTTCAAGACCTTGTTCCTAAGGTAAGTGATAGAAGTTTATAGACATGTTCATGATTATATTGTGAACAATATTTTTAATAAATTTTAATTTTTTCCAGTTGATGTTGCATGGCACTGTGTTTGCACGTATGGCACCTGATCAGAAGACACAATTGGTAGAAGCATTGCAAAATGTAGAGTAAGTATTGGTGGATTTTATGTTTTGGAATTTTTAAAATGGTACTTGTGGGTTTTTGTTTTTGTTTTCAATAATGTTTATTACATAACAGGTTGAGCATTTTTAATTCAAAACTGAAATGCTTTTTGAGGGTTTAGTAAAATTTGGAACATCTCAGATTTTGTGTTTTCAGATGAGGAATGCTCAACTGTTAAAATAATCTAAGCAGATATGCCAAAATCTGAAAAACCTTGAAATCTGAAACACTTCTTATCCCAAGCATTTCAGATAAGGTATATTCAACCTTTGTATGTGTATGTACTTACATGCAAATAAATAAATGTCACCTGTAATACAGGTGGTAAGAACTTTTAAGTGCCTCTTTTAAAGAAAGACTCATGCTCATTTGTTTCACTAAAAGTATAGTATCTACCCTTCCTCTCTGGGTAATATCTAGGTAGAGTTCATTCATTCATTCATTCAGGTGCTCTATCTTTTTAATTTTAGTGAACAATTGTTTCAATTTTTTAAGGAAAAATGGTAGCCTATATAGAATATATAGGTACAAGTATTTTGCTCTAAAGATGAGCAAATTGAGATACCAGCCCATTTTATGACAAACAAATCTGTATCCCAGGTCCTTTCACTTTCAGGCCAATTCTACTGGCAAAGCATTGTGCCTATGTTCACTGTAATGAAAAGATTCATTAGTTTCATCCCAGAAATCTCTTAGTCTGTTAGCTTTTCATAATTCTGTATTAGAGAAATCTTATTAAGTTAAACACTCTTAAAATCATAAAATTGTTTTCTTTCTTAGTTACTTTGTTGGGATGTGTGGTGATGGTGCAAATGATTGTGGTGTAAGTATAGATTTTCTGATTTACTTTTGTAGTTCTTGCTGTAGCCTAAATTACATTCATAAAACTTACCAATTTTCTTAAAACCATTAGGCTTTGAAGAGGGCACATGGAGGCATTTCCTTATCAGAGCTTGAGGCTTCGGTGGCATCTCCGTTTACCTCTAAAACGCCTAGTATTTCCTGTGTGCCAAACCTTATAAGGTAATAAAAACCGAAAAATTTTTTTATTTTGTACTACTGATAAAAAAGGGCAGATTATGATTAAAAGTAATGCCAATTTTTTAAAAAATAGCACATTTGATCTGTAATTTATTAGTTAACAGATTGCTATTACTCATTTGTTTCAATTCTCCTTTCGATTAGGTTTTTTGGTAGACAGGTGCTTTGTTGTAGCTGTCAAATGTTGTTCATCTGTCAAGATACAGTTGTGTTTTGGAGGAGGAGCTTAAAATGCACTTATTTACATGCTGACATTTCTCTTCACAGGGAAGGCCGTGCTGCTTTAATGACTTCCTTCTGTGTGTTTAAATTTATGGCATTGTACAGCATCATACAGTACTTCAGTGTAACTCTCCTGTATTCTGTGAGTACTAACAGTGTGCACAGAGTTGGGGCTTTATGTTAAGACACTTTAAGATATTAGCTATTAATGCAGATTGGACAGCTTTGTTTCACTCTTCAAAATGTAATTCCATGGCATATTTTTATATGTTCACAGGAAAGGCCAGAGTAAGGAAAGATGTTTTAGCAATAGTTTGCAGAGGCCAGGCACAGTGGCGCATGCCTGTAACTCCAGCTGGTTGGGATGCTGAGACAGAAAGATCTAGAGTTCAAAGCTAGCTTCAGCAGCAGTGAGGTGCTAAGCGACTCAGTGAGACCCTGTCTCTAAATAAATAAAATACAAAATAGGACTGGGGATATGACTCAGTGGTTGAGTGCCCCTGAGTTCAATCCCCAGTACTCCCTCCCCAGCCACTGCCGCCACACACAAACACACACACACACACACACAAAAGTTTGTAGATCTGTGCATTTGCAGAAAAGAGAGTAAACAGTGATGTCCATAGGTATCAGAGTTTATAATTGAATAGTGTAGATTTTTCTCCTAATGAATGTTGATATCCCAAGGAATTAGTGTGAGCTATCCCCTTTAAACCATTTGTAGAAAGTCTCATAAAAGATGGTGTTGCATATTAAGAAAGTTTCAAGATACTAATTTCCAAGTATATTGAATAATTTAAAGTTTGCTTTTTGCACCCCCAACCCTCCACCCACAAAAAAAACCCAAAAAACTTTTAAGGTTTTTACTGAAATAATTTTAAGAGATGCCTTTTATAGTAATATCTTAAATCAGATTTTTATAAATGTGTTAATGTGGATTAACTTCAAGGCAAATATATTTGAGTTTTTAAGCAGGTCCTTTTGAAGTTGTCATAATGGGGGAAGATAATCTATGACTTGGGAACAATGCTGTAAAAGTACTTCTTGGAAAGTAACTATGTTTTAAAATTACTTCTATAGATCTTAAGTAACCTAGGAGACTTCCAGTTTCTCTTCATTGATCTGGCAATCATTTTGGTAGTGGTATTTACAAGTGAGTATCTTGCTTTGTTACTGGTTTCAAAGTATTATGAAATTCTGATGTGATTTATTAATCTTTGATAAATTTACATCAGCAACTGTAACATAGTTCATCTCTCCCCAGAATCTCTGTAAATGTGCTCTTTTATTGCTAATTGTTTATATCTTGTCTCATTTGTTTTATTGTTCTCCCATTTTCCCCCCCGAAATATTTGTAAGTTTTGAGTCATCATGCTTGCCCCTTTGCCACTGAACGTTTTAGTGATTCTTTCCTTTTTGTTTGTTTTTTATTTTACTTATTCATTTTTTCATATATGACAGCGGGATGCATTACAATTCTTATTACACATATAGAGCACAATTTTTCATATCTCTGGTTGTATTTAGTGATTATTTTCCAAAAGTGGGTATAGTTACAAAGATCAGAAATTTAACATTGATAGTAACAGTACCTAGTCCAAACTCCACATTTAGTTTTGTCACTTGTTCCTGTAATTTCCTTTATACTTATTTTCTCACTTAGAACCCAGATATAATCCAGGCCCCCAAATTTCATTTAGTTATTACATCTTTTTAATCTTTTTTTTTTTTATATTCCGGAATAGTCCCTCAGTTTTTGTTTGTTTTTTTTTTTACATTTATGAATATGCGTTTGTCTGATTTATGCTCTTTAGATGCAAGCTATAAAGTTTTGGAGGGAATGTAAGAAGTGATGCTATGTCCTAAATGCATCACATAAGGAGACACAAGGTATTAGTATGTTATAGTATGGGTGATGCAAACATCCAAATAAATAATGGTGATAATGGAGTATGGCCCATTGAATCAAATAAAAATTCACAGTTCCATCTATGCTATAAGCAAATAAATATTTGGGAGATAAGAGAAAGCTCTTGTTTAAGGAAAATGCTAATAGAAGAAATGTTTGACTTGGACCATAGTGAGACCCTGTTCTTATTGATATTTTAAGCAGATAGCTCATTATGGGGAGCTTTCTGTGCACTGTAGGATGTATAATAGAATCTTTGTTCCTCTTTCCATTTCCTGCTAGTAACCCTTTCCAAGTATGCCAACCAGAATATCTCCAGGCATTACCAGATCTTCACTGGAGGTGTAAATCATCTTTGATTGAGAACTACCAAGTTAGACTAAAGACTTTAGTAGATGATAAAACTAGCGAATGAAAGAGGATCAGGACTTTGACAGTCTCAATATAACTTTTCACAAGTTATTGATTAAAAAAAGAAAAATAGGTGGACTCCACCTTAATAGGTTTTCAAAGCCTCTTTAAATGTTACTTTTAGGTTTATATATTTTTTTAAACCTTTATGGTTTTTTTTGTTTGGCAGTACTAGGGTTTGAATGCAGGAGGACTATGTGAGCTATATACTTGGCCCTTTAATTTTGAAATTTTGAGACAGGGTCTCAAGTTGCCCTACTGGACTTGAATTTTGCCATCCTATTCCCTCAGTCTGCAGAGTTGCTGGGATTACAGGCACTTGTCACCGCATCTTTGTTAATTTTTCTCCAAAGTAGTTGTAGTTTTGCAATTGAGTATTCAGAAAATAATGAACTCTTTCTTAGTTACATAAAGGTGGTGATTAATTTTATAATTTTTGTACTTTTAGGTGTTTTTTTTTTTTGAAACTAGTGTTTTTTTCTGAATTTCAGTAGAAATATAAAAACTGCTCCTCAAGCATTTTTGCAAAACCTAGATTGTTTGAGAGATTATTTAAATATGTATAATATCTGGCTTGGTGTTTGGAAATTTTTCTTATTAAAGAAATTTAGACCAAAACAAATTTAAATGTTTCCAAATGAAAACATGCATGGTGATATATGCCTGCAATCCCAGTGACTCTGGAGGCTGAGGCAGGAGGATCACAAGTTCAAGGCCATCCTCTGCAGCTTTTGGAGACCCTCTCTCAAACTGAAGAATAAAAAAGGGCTGGGGATGTAGCTCAGTGGTGAAGCACTTCTGGTTCAATTACCAGTACCAAAATAAAATTTCCAGATGTTTTTTATTATATCTTTTATTGTGACTAATTGAGATACAAACCTCTTCTCTTTCTTTTCAATATAGTGAGTTTAAATTCTGCCTGGAAGGAACTTGTGGCACAAAGACCACCTTCAGGCCTTATATCTGGGGCCCTACTCTTCTCTGTTTTATCTCAGATAATCATCTGCATTGGATTTCAATCTCTGGGGTTTTTTTGGGTTAAGCAGCAGCCTTGGTATGAAGTATGGCATCCATATTCAGAGTAAGTTGGTTACTTCCTGTTACTTCTTTGTAATATGTGCAATATGTGTGCATATAAAAATGAGTCCAGAAATGTATATATAAAAGTTTTCTTGTGGCTTGATTCAAACATGTAATTTGGCCTATATTTGCCTTCTTGTCACAGTAACTCTGTAGTGATGTGTCTTAGTCTCCTTTTTGTTGCTAATAACACAGTACCACAGACTTAAGTTGTAAAGAAAAGAGATTTTTGGGTATGGTTTTGATCCAGGTTCGAGGAGCTATATCTGGTGATGGGTCCTTGCTAGTAATATCCCTAGGCAGTGTGGGATATCACATGATAAAATACAAAGAGCTCAAGAGAGACATAGCCAAACTGACTTTTCTAACAGGCCACTCTCAATAGCCCATTGATTCATTAATCACATAGTGGATTAATCTATTCATAGGGTCCTAATCACTTCTTGAAGTTCCTAATATCTCATAATGGGGATTAAATTTCAGCATGAGCTTTGAGGGGACAAGCCATATTCAAACCATAACAGTATATTCAGGCAAAATCCTGAGATCTTAGATAAAAATGTTACTTAATTTGCTACTTAGCTTTTGAGTTTCTTATCTATACAGTGAAAAAGTTGAAATTGATCTCTAGTGTTTCTTCTAAAACCGGAATGTTTGAGCTTCTAACTTTTATAAACTTGGTTTAGGAAGTGGCATTTTAGAACATTCTTAAAAAATGATATTAGGTATTTCTATTTATTTTTTGGAGTACTCTACATTTCACAAATTATGAAAACATTATTTTTTTCATTACACATGGTTAACTATCAGATTAAATTTTTGGATGTAAATATTTTTTAGTTTCCTTGAATAAGGGAGATTGTCATTAAAAAAATCAGAAACATTTAAAAATTTAATTTTTTTATATGTCCATACTAACACTGTCCACTGTTGAATCATCTTGAGACTCTCTCCAGAATTAATTTGTAAACTTGATTAATATTTTGTTACCACTTACCTGTGTACATTTAGGTAATGTTTTAATCATGGGTCGAGACTTCTGATAGTTATTTCGTGCATGCCTGATAGTGCTGCCCACCTGGAAATAGAATTGAGAGTGAGCTATCATTAGAGAATATTGAAGGCCCCCAGTTTTTGTTAGCCACTTATAAAGTCTTCTTAGTTCAGTCCTCACAGTAATTCTCATAGAACAGGCAGTAACCACAGGTGAGGCTGTTGACTCCCAGATTGCTAAATAATGGCAGAACCAACTTGGCACGGTGGCGCACACCTATAATCCCAGTGGCTCTAGATGTGGAAGCAGGAGGATCAAGAGTTGAAAGTCAGCCTCAGCAAAAAGTGAGGTGCCAAGCAACTCAGACTGTGTCTCTAAATAAAATACAAAATAGGGCTGGGGACATGGCTTTGTGGTTGGGTACCCCTGAGTTCAATCCCTGGTACCTCACCCCCAGAAAAAAAGGGCAGAACTAAAGTCAAGTCCTTGTTGTTTATTGAACATTTTTTCAAATTTGATATCAAATTTTTAACTCATTGTAATGTCTGGCTACTGAGAAAACCCTCATTAAATTCCTCATTATTGTACTACCAGTTGTGTATCTTACATTGATATAGTTGCACCTTTTGCTATAAACAAAACCTTATTTCTATTTGTTATGGTAATAATTCGAGGCATCTAGGGTAAAATTTATTTCTTTGTGGGAAATGGGTGTTGTGTTTACTAACACAGATTTTTTTGTGTGTTTCTAGTGCTTGTAATACAACAAGAAACCCACATTGGAATTCTTCACACATGTATAATGAAACTGAACCTGATTCACACAATATACAAAATTATGAAAATACCACGGTGTTTTTTATCTCCAGTTTTCAGTACCTCATAGTAGCAATTGCCTTTTCAAAAGGAAAACCTTTCAGGCAACCTTGCTACAAGAATTGTAAGTTTGACTTTTATTGTGATTTCCACCCTGCGCCTCTCCTTTAAAAATACTGGTGAAGAGTTTTTATTGTCTTCCCCAAAGTTAAAATAGATCACAGATGGAAAGAACTTAATGATTTAAATGCTTACTGTCTTATTTTACTTTCATGAGAGTTGCCACCCTAAATTAAATCCACCAATATTAAATATTTCTGGTATTCATGTTCTGTTACCTTTCACTCTTTTATTTCGGCAACCCATTACAGAGGGAGTTAGGATTGCAAGGAGGATCAGATGTCCTCAAGGGAGACAGTGGGTGTTATACTTCCTTCTGGGTAGTCTGCGAAGCACCAACTAACTTTTTATTTTCTCTGACACTGGTATGGCCAGTGTTCACCTCTAGAATTCTTCATTTCTGTCACCTTTACATACTGCTGCAGAAGGGGTCATTACAATGAAGGTTTGTGCCTGTTTGGACTTATCTGCCTGTGGCAATAGCCCATACAATTTTAAATGATCAAAGTTAGTATTAATGGACAAAATCACTAATTACGTAATTGAAGTCTTTAAAAATTGAGAACATATTATTAATGTATGGAACAATATTTAGACTTTTCAGTATGTTGGAGTGAATAATATGCTTTATTTATTTATTTTTTGCTATAGTTGTGAAGAGACATCAGTGTTATACTTGGCAAAATGCCAGCTCATAGATTTTCGAATGTCATGGGAATAATAACTATCAGAATCTCTTCTGTTAGAGTTGACAAAGCATTTTCACATATATTATCTTATTTATTTATTACTTCCACCCTGTGTGGTTTGTTGGGCAAGTTTATTTTGGAAGGGTAAGATTGAAATTTGTTTTTATGGGTGACTTTTCTTTTTGGAACTGATGTTTCTTATTTAACAAGTAACTATATTATTATATTATTGTATTTGTTATATATATTACTAGTAACTATGTTACTGAGAACCGTATAAAAGCCATATCAAAGAAAGACTTATCACTATTTCTAACAGGACTTTATAACTAAAGATAATTTGTTATTATAAGAAGATCTTAATATCAAAGCTGATATACGTATCTTACTTTTAGTTCAATATTTTTAAATTTCAAGGAAATATTAAGCATGTTCAAAGGCAGCTGTAAACATCTACAAAACAACAATGCCTTTTTTCCCTTTAATATGAAGAAAACTGATACTCAGACTACTTTGTAAGTAAGGTGGCCCTATCAGGAATATTAATTGTAGGAATCTAAATAAATGTACTCTATCCACACATCTTTTATTGGGAAAAGAGCTAGAGGTGAATATTAGTCATTTTCCCCCTCCCTCCCTTCCTCTCCCTCTCCCCATCTCCTCCACCCACCCCACTCCTGTGTCACTCCCCACCCTTTACAGTGCAACCCAGGGCCTTGGGTACCCAACCACTGAGCTGCAGAGCCATAACTCCAGTCCCAAGTTGCCTATTTTTAAAATGTGTCTTTTATGTGACTTGGAAAAGTTCAAAGGAGTTTTGTACTCCTGTATAATTTCAAATTGCAAAGATAATACTTTATTATTGACCATTGGACTAATTTTGAAGAGTATTAAAAATTCAATTTTAGGAAATATAATCACAAAACCATTGTCCTTACTATAGGAAGCTGTGCACTTCTGACAATGAATAAGGATAACTACATCCTAGTATAAAAAATGGTGTCTGGAAGATACAAATGGAACTGTACAGTGTACTGTATATTTTTGTTAATTTTCACCTAGCCTATTTGTCATTGAAGTGCATTGTTATTGGAGTTCATTGTAACAATTCTTTGCTAGGACATGTTGGTTCTTGTTCTTTTTATATCTAGGTATTATAATACATTACATTTATTTTGAAATTTTTTAAAAAATTAATCTCCATCTTAGGTGTTTAAGGCATTCTTTCCTAAACTCTTAATCCTTTTCTGTTTCAGTTTCATTTTAGATAAAATTTAATTTCAGCCTGTAGTTGAAATTTGTTTTCAATTTTAGCTTATGCAGTTACATTTTTCTAGTATGTTTGCCTATGCTTTTATTGCAACAGTTACAGTTATATACACTTAATTCTTCTACTCCAAGGAGGTGTAATTTCTGAGGACTCAGCTAGTTTCTTGCTTGGTCTTTATAGTTTACTGCTTGTCAAATTCAGTCCCTTTCTCTATCGTAAAGATGTTTTTACTAAAATGCTAATTTCTCTCCTGTTCAGGGCTTATGTATTGTTTTCCTGTTCATTTGACAATGTCTTAATTGGTGGGAACAGTTCAAATACCTTATATGCTCTACAGAATAAGGTGGTTTTTCAAAGACAAGTAACTGAGTAAAGGAAGAGAGGATAGCAATAAAAAGACTTGATGTCTGGTTATAGGTGAGAAGGTCCAAGTTATTGTTTGAAGAAGGAATGGGAAAGAATAAAAGGTAGAAAGGTATATATCAGGGTTCAATATTATATGTTTATTTTTATAAAACTGCCAACAATCCGCCTCTCCTATTACATAATAGCTTTTTAAAGCAGTGCCTCTTCTTTTCTCTAGGCTAAACAAAAATAGACTCAATTATTTATTTTCCCCTTCATATAGAAGGCTTGGCAGATTTTTAGGAGCAGAATCAAGGACTGGCTCTAGGAGTAGAGAGGAATTTTTGAGAAGCACTCTTTAGGTAGATGTAAAGAATTTCTAAGGCTGAGTAATTTTCTCTTTCCAATTAACACTCATGTGTCAGGAGTCAGATGAGAGATCTAGTTTTTCTATTGTTTTCAAAATGCAGTAAATTTGAAAAATATTTGGTATGGGTCATTCTTTATTTGAAACTCTCTCCAAGTTTTTCTGGCATTTGTTTTCTTATCATGTCTTTCAGTTCTTTTCTCATTTTATCCTTTTTTGTTTGTATTTCCAACCCACACTTTCAAAATACTTTCATCGACCGTACAAGCTTCAATGACTAACTTACATATTACTTTAGTTTCCGCATTTTTGGAATGGAACATGACATGTCCTGATTGCAATGTCGTAGAATTTTTAAAAAATTAAAATTCTAGAAAAAGTGCTTTTTATCCAGCACAGGTCCCCAATTTTTAAGATATCTCATAGTACAATACTTTCCCTCTTTGGCATGACTGTCAGTATAACTTTTAGCCAAAGCTGTTAGATATCTACTGTATGTATCACACACATGCTCACAGAGTGTAGTTTCTGTACAACAGTTTCTATAGAACAATAAGAATTGACCTGTGGATTTAAACTGACATCAACAAAGTTGTATTCACAGATTACTCCTACATTTAAAAATAGCATTGAGAGCCTTCATTTACTGTCACTAAGAAGGACACTAACTTCTTTAACCCTATCTGAAGGCTTTGTGATAAGGTCTTGGTAATATGTGGCCGTAGTTAAAATTTGATATTGAAGTTGACTTCAAATAGCAACTTGTAAATAAAATGCAGATCAAAGAAAAAGGAGGGAAAATGTTTGTGGTTGCAAATACAATTGGGACATTTCTGAGCCTTTCATGGCTATACAGGGGATGTATATGTGCATATATATGTATGTATACACACACACACAAATATGTATGCACATGCTGAACAAAATGACTGTGCATATGTGTATGTTTTATTTTTGAGTTAAGAAATGGACATCAAGTATTACTGGAGGTCTTTGCCATTCCTAGCTTCCATAGTAAAGCCATAAGGTTGCCCTCATTTAAAAAACAGTAGATCAACTCATTCTCACCTTTTTGGCTAACACCTTCTGAAGGAATTTTTCATGAGTAAGTTAATGAAAATGGGGTTCACTTGCCAGAGATATATACAAATTCAACTCAGAATGCCTTTATTTAGGATTGTGGCATACCTAATACTGAAAATGTCATTCATCATTTTTAAAATCAGTAGTTGTCATTGAATACTAGTTTTAAATGATAATCTTGTTTTGCCATACATTGACTGGTCTCTCATTTGTAAATTACGTTTTTTTCTTTTTTGAATATTGTTTAGCTATCTCTCTGGAAGACATAAATGTTAGTAATCTGAATTTTATTCTTAAAGTATTGATTATTTTCTGAAATATCATTAAAGTTTAAGTTAATGGCTTTAAAATATGTATATCTCATCACATACATGAATTTATTGGGGACCTAGAACAATCTCTCCCATTGTAGGAAATAACAGCAGCACATGCTTTATATATTTCATCAGCTAAAGGAGAAGTATTCAAATGAATTTAGAAATGACAGTATACCACTGTTGGATCCCTTTTTATTTAAATGAACTTCCTAATTTCTTTTACTTTCTTTTCCAGATCTTTTTGTTGTATCTGTGATTATTTTGTATGTTTTCATATTATTCATCATGTTGCATCCAGTTGCCTCTATTGACCAGGTTCTTCAGGTAAGGTTTAAGCACATCATTTATGACTAGTCTCATGGTTGATAGTAATTGAAAGTGACACTGAAATATTACATGAGATCTAAATGACTAAATGAAACTTTTGGATGTTTGATGGAAGGGCTTAAGATCTGTCCCCCTCCTTTGCTTTTTTATGTTACTAAAAAAGAGACTAAACTGCGTCCATTTCATTTTTCCAAGATCTCTTCTTTTCCTTTTTTCTAAAATAGAGTAACCTAAAGACACTGTGAAACAAATACAGAACATAACTGAAATAACAGCTTTTATTGACTATACATGTTCAGTCTGTTTCTGGTTCCATTCCCTTTGTCAAGCAAGTGTTCCTTGAACTTTAAAGACATTTTAAAAAGCCTTGATCCCAATATGTCCTTACTTTTTCATCCTTGATACTATTTCTTGAGTGATCTACATGTGTTCTCTCTTGTTTGCTTGCTGGTCATTTAGTTCTTTCTTTTAATTAAAATTATGAATGATGACATGAAAATTATCTTTATAGAAAAGAAAATACACATATTTAAGATGTAAAGCATCATAAAAAGTTAGTAATAAATTAAAACCACCATTCAGCCTAAAAATAGGTAACATCACCAATCAAAGGTGTTTGTGTATCTTTCTTCAAATACCGTGAGGGAACCTGTATTCTACTTTTTTCTCCTTATTCTGTTTTTTTTTTTTTTTTTTGTATTTACTATATATGTATGAGGTCATAAAAAAACAACTTTACTTGCTTTCAACTTTATGAAAATATTTTGCTCTTTGTATTTTTGTGACTTTTCATCATAAATACTGTTTCTAAGATTGTCCCTATTTATAAGTTTATTTTATTTTCACTATATACTGTTCCATTGTAGGGTACTGTAATTGACTTTTCCATTCTTTATAGGCAAATAGTTGTTGTTTTAGTCTTTTCTTATATTAACAGTACTGCTATGTCTCTTATTGTGTTAGGGTAAGTAATGATGTACCAAAGAGCTGGTACAAGCAACAAGGGAATGGTACAGTACTGTAGAGAATTCAAGACAGTAATAAAACCCACCAAAAGTCCATCTGCTTTTAAATCTTACCATGTACTGTTGATTCCAAACAGTATCAGTGATATATACTTTTTCTACTGCTACGTATCCTATTCCTACAGTGTCACTAGAGATAAAGAGTTTCTCTGGTGAATTCTGGTATAATTTTGAGTTCCTACTCTTCCACCTTCTAACGTATGCTAAGTTGCTTTCCAAAATGATTGGATCAATTTATACCTTCATACTGTATGAAATCCTGTTGTTCACACCATTGCCAACTAATCTGTCTTCCACCCCTGCCAGTCTACAGAATTTTCCCTTACCAAGGTTATTAACAGCCTTCTTACTGATGAAGTCTAATGGACTTGTGTCCTTAACATTTTCCCTCCGCTGTCACTGACCTCCCCAGCAGTGTTGACCTATGTACCCATGTCATTATTCTTGAGCCATTTGCCCCTTGGATTTTGTGATACTGTGTTCCCTTCAAGCCCTTTCATGCCTCTGTGACTCCTTTTTCTGAGTTTCCATTTTGGTTCTACTCCCTCCATTTATTCCTTAAACATTAATGGTCTTCACCTGTGTGATCTTATGCTTCTTTCCACTCCAAATTCTCTTAATCTCACTTATAGTCATAGCTTTACCCACAGTTGCCATCCATATGTTATAGACTCCCTGTTTTTGTTTTTGTTTTTGTTTTGAGATTAGACCCAGGTGTGCTCTGCCACTGAGTCACATCTTCCAGGCCTTTTTACTTTTTATCTGAGGCAGTTTTTTTATTTTGAGGCAGGGTCTTGCTAAGTTGCTGAGCTAGCCTTTAGCCTGAGATTCCCTTGCCTCAGCCTCCTGAATTGCTGGGACTACAGGTGTCCTCCACCACACCTGGCAAGACTTCCTACCTTTATACCCCAAGCTTATCCCTCATTATTGAACTTTAGGCATAGCCATTTATATATCGATTATTACTTACATGCTTCAACCAACAGTTCCCCAAATACAGCATTTTTTAAACTAAGCTTACTATGTTCTTCTCCTTCCACGCTGCTTCTTCCCTTTTTCTTGATATCACCATTTATCCAAGTTGGAAGTAAGTTTGTGTGTATCTGTCTGTCTGTACTTGTCTTTGGCAATTGTTAGTTTCAGTTTCCTTATTCTGAATGTAGTTCTGTCTTTACTCCAATCCCATTTGCCACCCCTCTAGTTGGAGCTCTAATTGTCTCTTACCTGGGTCACTTTACCAGTCTCCGCMCCTCAGGACCTTCTTAATGGAGCAATATTTCTCTAAGTGTATTGGATCATGTCACTTAGCATATAGCATAATATCTTTGGTATTCAGTAATATAATTTTGTTGACTAAAAGGTAGATGCATTAGAAGGATTTTTTTTGCTTTTATTTTTTAGACCTTAGAAATTAATAAGGTTTTAGTCTGGTTCAATAGTGTGCATTTGTATTCCCAGTTACTCAGGAGGTTCAGCAAGAGGATCACTTCAGTCTAGGAGTCAAGAGCAGCCTGAGCAATATAGCAACACACACACTCTGTCCCCTGTAAAAGGAAACCAGAAATAGAAATGAATTGTATTTTAAAGTGAGAACTTTATTTATTGTATTTCTTAAATTGATCTGTAGCGTTCTTTTATGAGTTTTCTTTACAGTAATGTGAGATTTGACCATTATTTCAATATTAGATTAGTGTCTGCCTCAATGTTAGAAGACAGGTTTTTATTTTTAAAAATAATGACTTGTTAGAAATTTGTCATCTGGGCTTTCTAGTCTGAGTGAATAGGATTTGATGCCAAGTTCATCCACTTGGTATTATTTTTAACTTTGAATTACTTAAAATATTATCATCTAAAAAGATACAATAAAAACTTTGTGCCATTGTTGAGGGTTAAGTGTATAATGTGTTTGTAGGTGTTTGGTACGTAATAGAAATTCAGTAAATGCAGAAATTATGATATAATGTCAACTAGGTAAAACAACTTTAAAATTTTTTGTCTTACAGATAGTGTGTGTACCATATCAGTGGCGTATAACTATGCTCATCATTGTTCTTGTCAATGCCCTTGTGTCTATCATGGTGGAGGTAAGCACTTCAGATAGTCAAATGGCAATCTTGTTGTTTTGCATTCTTGGGTGATTAAATGGTGAATGGGTGAAAGAGTACAGGTAACATTATAGAAGCCCACAGTCGTGAGTTTCATTTTAGGCAAACTAATTTAGCCTTCTTTTTTTTCCCTGACTTTTTCCTTGAAAAATATGATAATAATAATAATATTAAGAGGTTTGACTTAGCTGCACTCTTACAGATAGTGCATGAGACACTATAAAGAGTGAGGTAGCAAAACTGAATGTTGAGAAACGTTTGGTGGCCAGGCAGCCCTTGAACTGTCCAGTGGCCATGGAATCAGAGTGGGCATAAAGTATTTTGTGTTTTATGATGTAAAGTAGAATGCCTAATTTAAGGATTTAAGTCGGTGGGGAGGTTCTTTGGAAAACATAGTGACTATTATGCTGAGTTTATTGAAAGTATAAAATAATGACCATTGTGGACTTAACTAATTTTGCCATTGGTTACTGGCACTTCCTCCTTGATATTTACTTTTAAGCGACCTTTAGAAGTCTTAAGTACTCTCTGATGCATTGTATGTATTTTATTTCCTATTATGATTGCCTTTAGGTCAGCATCTCTAAAAGGAATTAGCAAGTTCTCACTTGCTGCTTATTAATCAACTTTGCTCTGCCCTCAGAACTATGATCAGAATTCACTTGTACCATAGCAATATAAGAAACAGAAGAGGGAAATAAAGTTGTGATCGTTAAGTTTAAGGAATAGGCTTTTGAATGAAAATTAAGATAATTTGTGGGGAAATGTGTGTTTTAGAGATCATAGTTCTAGACTTAGAAATTATGCTCAACTTCAGTCATTACACCAAAAGAAGAGTTGGTTTAGAATTTGAGATATGATTTGTAGAATAGATATTCTGGTAAATCTTTTTAGCCTGCCTGGTGGAATGCATTTTTCCACTGAGGATGCTAGAAAGCACATTTAAGAGAGAGTATCCAAAAATGTACCTTTGTCTGTAGTATATAATTTCATTTTTTTCACTCATTTATTATTATTAATGTCTAATATTTTTTGTGTTGGATGCTAGTGAAATCATACTTGTGTATAGGTATARACTATAATAGTAGATATTCAGTAAAAATGCATTGTTAAGAAAAAGGCTTCAAATTAATAAGCATTGTTTTAATATGGATAAGCACTGAGGAGTTACATAAAAACCACTCTTTGTGGAGAATTTGTAAGTTCCATTTTATTAAGAATTTTATGGTTTGTATATGTTACAGAAGTCCTGTTATTCTTTATCCTTTTGTAGTATTAACTAAAGTTTGCTATATGAAAACCAAATCATGTTTTTACTAATGATGCAGCATTGTGTGAATGTTTTTTAAATGTGCATGTTAAAAAAGAATGACTTAGTCATTTTTAATTCTTGACTCACTGGAATATCTCTCAGAGCTTCTTCCTTGACATGGTCCTTTGGAAAGTTGTGTTCAATCGAGACAGACAAGGAGAATATCGCTTCACCACCACACAGCCACCACAGGTTGGAAATCAGCAGTTACTATCAATTCTTCACGTATATCTTGGCTCTTCCAGTGTATACTCTGTGTTCTCAAGGGTATTCTGTGTGTATTGCTTCAGTCTTTTCCCCTTGCCTGGCATTTCATTTTGTTTCTCTCTCCTCTCTCATTTTACTTATATAGAATAATGAGTTACATTGTGGCATTTTTCATACATGCAAATAACACTTGGGTCATATTCCCATCATCCCAGTTCAACATTTTAGGAAAAACATGATTCTTTTCTTTCTGCGTCTGACTTGTTTCACTTAACATTAAGATCTCCAGTTGCATCCATTTTCCTGCAAATGTTGTGATTCCATTCTTCTCTGTGGCTGAATGATACTCCATTGCATGTATGTATATATATATGTACATATATACATACACATACATATATGAAATATGTAATCAGTGGAATATTATACATGTCACGTGTGCATACACACATGTATCACATTTTCTTTGTCCATTCATTTGTCATTGATAGGAACCTCTGCCATTTTTATAACTTAGATATTGTAAATTGTTGGACATTTCAGAAAACTAATGGCAAACATTTGTTATAGGCTTTTCAGGGCTTTACAGATATCTTTAGTTTCTTTCATTCCAATCCTAATCTTCTGTGTGTAAAGGTCTTGTCCTCAGAGATATGAGTTAATTTTTCCATTTTTGTCTATGCTTTATGATTATATGAATCCCATTTGAAGCTAAAAGAGATTCATGTATACAAAGTTTTTTTTGCGGGGGCAGGTACCAGGGATTGAACTCAGGGGTACTCGCCCACTGAGCCACACCCCGAGCCCTATTTTTATATTTTATTTAGAGACAGGGTCTCACTGAGTTGCTTAGTGCCTCACTTTTGCTGAGGCTGGCTTTGAACTTGCAAGCCTCCTACTCAGCCTCCAAAGCCGCTGGGATTATAGGTGCGTACCACCATATCTGGCTACAAAGGTTTGAAATAGTAATGGTTTCTACTTGGATCAGAGTCCAAAGGCCAAATTTTTAAGGGATTATTTCTGATATCTTATTAATGCCTTAATTTTGGCTGGCTTTTTGGCTTTCCCCAACATATGTGCCTCATCATTTAGAAAATGTGTTCATTTTTATGCAAGCCATGGTAGGGCTTATTTCCTAGTGTCAAAACGTTAAAAGTATAGTTCTTGATAGAAAACACAGATTAGACTTACTTTTCAAACTGCCATTCATTGAATGAAAGCTTTGTGAGCCAACCTTTCGAGTATAGAGAACTTGAAAGTATAAAATGTCACCCCTGTTATCTTGGGTAGTGTACTTTACAAATGTGAGTTGTATCTTCACTCATCCTTGAGCCACAGGGAAGTTTGCAGAGCTCATGAGAACTCCCTTGAAGGATTCAGGGGTCTCCTGGACAAGAATTTTAGTCTTCCATTTCTAACTTTGGTTACTCACTTGTTTTTAACCACCTTTTACTTAGGTGGCAACTTAACTTACTTAAGCTGTATTTTGGCAATTAAGGAAGCCTGATGCCCAGGTAGAGTACCACAGCATTGCTGTATAAGAGGTCCTATAGAATGCCATTTTCATTTTCTAGTGCTATATGATGAAGAGTGATGGTTCTTAAGTGATGGCATGAGTCTGTAGTTAGCATCAAAGCAGCATAATACCCATTTGTCCCTAGTAGTAGATGTGTCCAGAGCTGTACTAGGGACTCAAGTATAGGGGCTAAATCTCTGTGCCTGTATGTTCAGAGATTTAAGTTTGGCTCATATCACCAGTTCCAATGTGAAATATTTGTTGTGGCAAAACTTGGATCTAGGGAAACATTTCAGTTGTTTTCAGCTTCTCCAAAGAGATCTTTGACTATTAATGTAAACAAGAGATGCATGTTCTAAAGAAGAGTTATACTTAAAGTAAGACCCCTTATAAAATATTTGAATTGGAAATCCCTCCTTGCCTTTATTTATTTATTTGTTTGTTTGTTTATTCCTGCACACCAGGGATTGAACTAGGGGCATTTAACAACACTAAACCACATCCCTAAGCTTTTATTTATTTTATTATTTTGAGACAGGATCTTGCTAAACTACTGAGGCTGGTTTTAAACTTGTGATCCTCCTGAGTCACAGGGATTATAGGCATGTATCACCAGTACTCAACTGCCCTCCTTATTTTTAAGAGTTTGTGTCTTATGTGAACCCTCTAAAATGCTTAGGGTACTCAAAAGTAAACAAGATTCGGCCTTTCAGTTCTGTGGTCATGATTAAGAAATTACTTTTTAAATTGGTTTTAGAAAAGAGAATTCATCTTAGCACAGAATGATATACTTTCATGTTTGGACAGTTCTGTGGGTAGTGTGGTTTCACTGTTTATATTTGTGGTCCAGCAAGAGCTAATTAGTTAATCATATTAGTTTATGGTTCTCAGGGGTGTTTGTCCCCCCTGTGGAACATTTAGCAGTGTTTGGGGACATTTTGGGTTGTTCACAGTTGAGGGAGGGAGGTTGCTACTGGCATATCAAGTGAATAGAAGCCAGGATGCTGCTTAATAAATAGCATAGTTCCCAAGACAACCCTATCTAAGATATCAGTAGAGCTGAGGTTGAAAAACCATGCCATAAGGTGAAAAGTGAAGTCAAGATGAGCATGACTAGCCACCCAAAAGACTTCTGTAAGGCTGCAATTCTTCTTATATAGTTGGGGGACCAGTGAGGTGGGTTGAAAGTTTGCAAAGTCAGAAACCACAAACTAGGCTTCAGGCCTCAGGTAGTTGAACTGGGAAGTAAAGAAACTCACCTGGAAATCTCTAGTAACTGAGTTTGAAATACCTGGTGATCTGCAAGGCTCCATATATAACACCTCCAAGATCCTCCCAGATTTATATCTAACTACATTTCATACATAAAGAAACTACAGTCAGCTTGCCAGGGTTATACATCAACGAATGGTAGAGGTTGAAACCAGGATTTCTGATTTTAAGAGGAGTGTTTTTTCAACATTTTGCCAAGCTGCCTCTAATACACCAGTTACAGAGCCGTAGAGGTGCAGACTAATCTAAGAATCAAATGACAAAATAGAGACAAACAATAGCTACTATTATTAAGTATACCTTCTCTGTGGTATACTACCGTACCTTTATGGTGAAGCATTTTGTAAACACTAATTGTTACAGCAATCTTAAAGAGACAAGAATATCTTTAGGATAGTGCCTGTCTTCCACTTTTCCCAGATGGTCAGAACTGGAATTCAAATTCAGATTAATTTTGACCCAGGACCATCACATTTCTTTCCACAAAGCCCCCATCTATTCTTTAAAGACCAGATAAACTTAGAGGTGTTATTTTACTGGAGGCTTCCACCTTGCTCACTGATTACTCATGCAGCTAGCCTCATTTAGTTATAGAAAGTAAGATTTTTACATAGTAATTTGTTTCCTGTAGTGGTTTTTACTGATGCTCACTTGACTCTGTTGAATCAAATTGAAAACTAAATTAAGTCATTTGCAAATTATTAAATCTAACACTATTATGTAGCTACATATTTTTCCTATAATGTTATTTAGCAGTTCCAGATATTCATACTTACTTTCTTCCAGAAAAAGATTGTTTCTGTATCAGTGATTTTCAAGTAAGGATATTAATCAGAAATGCCTTAAGGTTTTACTCCTGTGTAGTCTGTTCACTTTAGAAGCATTTGTGCCTATGTCTGGCTAATAAAACTGAGGCTACTTAAAAGTAGATACAGAATTTGTCATCTTGTCATGTAATTTGATCCCACTGAGGCTAAGGACAAGTGCCTGACTTCTTTTTTTGGTGAAAAATCCAAGTGCTAACTGTAGTCTTTAAGCCACTTAGGATATTATTTGAACTTATTTAGATAGGATGCTAATTCTGATTGTCTGTTTTATATTGAAAATTGGTATAGAACATTTTTATGAAAACCACAGTACCATGAGACCATTTTCCCCCCTTCAAGCATGGCTTTATATTTTATGTGTTACTCATAAAAACATTTCCTAAAAGACTGGGAAGAGTAAACTTGAGTTCTAGAATGAACAGCTTGGGATGGTCTAAGAAGCAAGAGAATTGTAGCTACAAATCTGTGGAAAGTTCTTTATGGTTTCTCTGCCAAACCCTCTTTTTTTCTGTGAGGGGATAAATTTGGTCACTTAACATTCCTTTCAGAAATAACAAAAATCCAGCTGGGATAGCTACTGTGTTCTCCTGATTCAGGGATTTGGGTCTTGGATATTTTAGAGAGACCTAAGTGTTGATTCTGAGCTTTTGCAGTACTGTGCCTCATTGCCTTTATGTTGTACAGCACTTGCCTTCCTCCTTAACACCAGCCTCTTTCCCCTGATTGATTTCATATTCCAGCATGCCTGCAGCACCTTTTATTTTCTCTTCCAGTGTTTGAGGATGTATGTGGTCTGTTTGTGTTTGTAGACTAACAAACCTATGCTTGTATATATTGTGTTTTTTTGTGTATGATATTTGGGGGACAATAAGGGTACAGAAATAATGTTTCTAATTATGGTGGTGGTGGGGAATCCTTAGTGTTCCTTGACTTGATCTTTAAAAAAAAAAAAAGAAAAGAAAAGAAATACAAATGTACATTGTGCTTTGGTAGTACTGGGGATTGAACCAGGGCCTTGTGCATGCTAGGCAAGCACTCTACCAACTGAACTATATCCCCAGCCCCTGGACATTATTTTTAATAAGGATTTTTTAAAAACTTTAATGTAAAAAGAATACTATCCAGTTGTGACTGTTTGCAATTAAATTAGTTTTAATTTTATTGCTTGCCTTACTTTCCACAGATAGGAACAATGAACTTAGTGTGTCTGTTGGTGTATATTAAATTAGATTACTTTTTGCTTTGGCTTTCTTTAACTCAGCCATCTGTGCATTGCCCTTCAACAACTCATCTGGATAGACAAAATCTTTTTTTTTTTTCTTTTTAAGTCAGCAGTCAATATGAGCCTTCTTCAGTGATCCTTTAACAGTCCTACTTGCTATAAAATAAAAAATGACAGCTTTCACATTGATTTAGGAACAGTGATCTTTTCTGCATTTGGATTGAAGAGTTTAAACACTTCAGGAAAGAGTAAAATTAAGTAATGAAACATATCTTTCAGATTAAACACCAAGTTTGTTGTTTATGTTCCTTCACTGGAAAGGAGCTGTCACCTGTTACTTGGATCACCTGAAGAATCCTACACATAGTAACTTCTCTATTCTAATGCTGTATATTTTCCTTTGGATTTTTTTTTTTTTTTTTTGGGCGGGGGGATGGTAGCATGATGACTTTGTATTACGATGATAATTAAGAGACTACTAGATGAATATTCCTAAATCTTTTTTCCCAGGAATATTAGATAGCTTACCTGTGACCACAGGTAGATGTGCAGCTTAGGGTACTTTGTTGACAAATTAAGCTACAAGACCTTTAAAGTGAGAGCACTGAGTTTTTGTTTATCTTGCTCATAGTAGTATCCTGGAGAAGAGGGAAAGAGTTGTAGTTCCTGGTAGTCAACTCAATAAGATGAGAAAGACCTCTCAAGTGAATGTATGAAACATTTTTAAGAGCTTACAATTAAGAGTATTTTWTTTCTGCTCTCCCTGGCCAATTTATAAATGTGTTCCACATCTACATTATAGAAGATTTGCCTTTCTTCGTTGTAAGGTTTTGGATATTCACATTGCAATATGTGTCTCAATTATGCTGTGCTTCTTTTTTTGTGTGTAGGATTACTTGAATTGGAGATTAGAGCCTAATATATATTGGCTGGGTTATAAGTTGATTGGCAAAGATTGTTTATCTAAGGTCATATTCATTAATAATACCAGGATTGATCTGTAGGATTTTATAATACTAAGACAAGTACTTGCTTTATACCTTTCCATGTATCTCTTCAAGTTGAAACCTTTAAAATGAGAATATTTTTGTATTAGTGAGAAATGTAGTTTTAAAAGATGGTGACTGATGTTAAACATGTCCTCTAAGTCCTAATTTTGACCTAACAATATTTCCTTTGTGCTTCATGTTTTGAAAACTGATATTAACAATAACAGTGATATTGCCTACTGCTTTCTTCCCAAAATGATGAGATGGCTAAGTTTTTGAGAGTATCGGTACCAAAAGATAGTTTGGGATAGCATGCAAGGATTTCCAAATTAAGTATTAAAAACATTTTCTTTTTCCGAATAGTTTGAAGTTGTTCTTAATATATTAGAAATTTTGTTACAGAATCCACATCTCCAAGTTATTTTAAAAATTGGATCAGTATGTAGAAGAATAATACATGAAACTAAATAAGGTGAAGTAAATGACATTGATAATCAGAAAATTTACTCTTAAAAAACATTAGTTCCTAAATAATTGAAAGCTGACTTTTTTTTAACATGGACTTTTAAAATTTGTTTATTGTTCCCAGAAGTCATGTCCTCTTATGTTTGTGTGACAGTGTATGCTTTAACAAGCCTGTTCAAAACAAGAAGCCCTTAATCAACTAGGGTGTTCTTTTTTTCCCCCTCCCCTTGTTTTCCTAGGAGTCAGTGGATCGGTGGGGAAAATGCTGCTTGTCCTGGGCCCAGGGATGTAGAAAGAAGATGCCAAAGGCAAAGTACATGTATCTGGCACAGGAGCTATTGGTTGATCCAGAATGGCCACCAAAACCTCAGACGACAACAGAAGCTAAAGCTTTAGTGAAGGAGAATGGATCATGTCAGATTATCACCATAACATAGCAGTGACTTAGTCTCAGTGGTATGCTAATAGCAGTATTTGAAGGAATGGTTTTAGGATTTTCTGGTCCTGTATGTTAGTGTGGCACTCTTTCAATTTATGTCCCTTCTGATAAGTATCTGATTCAAGAGCCTTTTTTAAAACAAAACAAAACAAACAAAAAAGGGTATTGGCCTCAATGTTGAAATTAACTGTCAGTCCATCTATATCTTTCTTTATTCAGTAACCAAATATATACACTTCCAGAATTTTGGTTGTTACCCTTAGTCATACTCTTTATATTAGGTACAAGAGAAATTTGGCATTTGGTAGATATTTAGACATTAGCTTTTGGAACTAGTTTGCCTCTTTATTTTCACAACCCTCTTATTAGAAAAAGTTTATGTTTATATACAGGCCCTAAGTTTGTGATCATTAAAAATAAAATGGGTGTTAATTAGCCTCCAGTGAAAACAGGTTGAAAGCCTGTTTTCATTTTATTCCAATATTTCTCCCAAAGAATTCTGTGTAAACCTACACCAGTTCTCTTTGATAGTTTAGAATTAGTAGTGGGTTTTTATGGTGTTGCTTATAGAACAACTCAGGTAATTCCTCTGTATGGTGTTATATTTTCTGTACAAACTGCCTGGGTTTTATTTTTCTAATCGGCAAGGTGCTTCACTGCATTCTTAAGATGTCCCTCAAAGCTGTTAAGTGGATGTTGTTTTCTGTCTGGTGTCAGTGGTCTAATTGGTTTGCTTCATTAAATGTTGTGAAACCTTTTTTACTAGAAAAAGATGATTTCTTTTGGCAGTAAATGTAGATCTAACATCTCAACATACATTTTTTCCCCCTTCAGGATTTGTATTATTTTTTTWAATTTTCTCCAATTTTTTAATTATCTAAAGACATAGGATAATAATATTGGGTTTTTTTGTGTTTGAATTTTACCTTGAAAGATTTTTTTTTTTAAGATTAGGTGTATCTCTTATCAGTAATAAGGCTTAAAAAATAATGAGTATTGGATTTGAGAGACTGCTATTTTTCTTTTTCAAAGTGATGTAAACTTGGTGAGAGCTTGTTATATACCATTAGGTGGCGCCAGAGGTCAAAGCATACCTACTTTGCTGTAAATAAACATACCTGGTGTAGCAATTTCTGGGAGGAAAAAAAAAATAAGGAAATAAAGAATAGACATTCATTGAGCCGTAAGAAATGTAGGAAATTACTTTTCACCTTTCTGTTTTGCTTGATTAATGTTTAAATTTTTCAGGAATTTAAAGTAAACTTTAAAATGGATCTATAGGTAGGATTCAGCAGTTTGGCAATGCCCACAGTTATGACAGACACAGGAAACTGTAAAACACACCCTACTCTATTAAAACAATATAATATTCTATGTACTTTCTTAACTAGACACATACTTGTGCTTTCCACTGATCATTTTTTAGCTGATCATTGTTTTCCCAGTACATTTTTACCAATTTACCAAATGTTACCTGGAACTGTAGAACCAAATGGTTCTCATTCTTTATGCTGCAAAGACCTGAATGGTGTTTGGTAACTGTAGAAAAATGCAAGTTACACTCAGGATCACTGTTATTGCTGTTGCCACTGATGATTCTTACAAAAAATATAATCGAAGTTTTCCATCAAAATGTATAATAAGATATTAATACACATTAGATGATAAGAACAATTGTTCCATGAATGATTCTATGAAGCTATGCATCTTAGACCTCTTGAGCTGTGAATTAGCACTGTTTTCTATAGTTACTTAAATCTCTTGATTGTTTTATAATTTCCATATTCATTTTAAATATACTCAAGTGTTATTCTTTGATGATTTCTAGAATTGTATGGTTTAAATACTGAAGCATATAAACAAAGTAATTGCTAAGTAGCAGATTAAAAATCCAGTTATCAGATTGTATTTAACATCTTTAAGAGCATGATCATAAAGAACTATTTTTGACCACACACACCCCTTTTAACATTTAGAGTTAGTAAGGGTTTTATATCTCATCTGTTCATACTGTTTTCCAGGGAATGATGTTTTAGATAGGTGGAAAAGCATTTGTAGGAAGTTAGAGTGAACATAAACAGGGTAGGTTATTCAAGTTCAGAATGTATTTGCAGAATGTCTGAATCCAGGTGTGGGTCCTCCTCAGTGCCATAGGTAGTCTGAGCCCTCTCTGTAGGTCACCTTACATAGTAATTTTGGTTCTGAATTTTACATTAAATTATTTGAGTGTATACAGAACTAAATTTAAAAATCTGTACATATATTATTTTGATGTATTAAGATTGATAAATATTGCTGATTTAAATTTTATTTATGCACATAAAGGACAGAAATGTCCAGGAAAGTAATTGTTAAATAATGATATGTAACTTTTTAACTTTTTAAATAAATAACAAGATTTTTAATGTGTGTCTCCCTCAGGGTTGTTGAAATTTTTTTTCTTTATCCCTCAAATATAAATAGTGGTAACTATGTTTTCTATCTTCTAGCACCAACTGCTGTAAAGCAATGCTGCAAATAATGCTTGAATAAAAGTGGCTAAGCCAACAACAAAATAAATACTTTTTATAGTAGTTTTATAATTCTTAAATTCGAAAGCTTTCCAAATTGCACTTGCATTTAAACACAACTGTTGCAGCTTTTACTCATTTATTTTGTTTCCCATGTTGATGAAAGTACTGCACAGTTTCAAAGGCATGGCAAATAATATATCAGTGTTCATGTAGTTTGTCCCCAAAGTGCAGCTATAGATAACAACATCCAGTGAAGAGCAAAATGCAGGCTTTAGAAAACATTCTAATAATTCATGCATGTAATTTTGACATATCTGAAATAGGTTTTTGTATATTTATGGTGGGAGGTGGTTGGGAACTTTCAGCAAAGTGGGATGTTAATTTTTGTACAGTCTATGGGCATTTACACATTTTTAATGTATTAAGATTTGGTAATTATGTGCACATGAAATTAATAAAATAGTTACTTCCTGTTATGATTTGTGAATTCCCTAAGACCTTGGTTTTTTTAAAATAACTTTATATCGGAAATGATACTGCATCTCTATATTTTTAAAATTGTATTGCTGCTCAAGAATGGTACCCTGTTGTCAAAAAGACATACATTCATAATTGTACATTCAGCATTGTAAATAACCTTATGAAATCCTTTTTGATTGAAGCTATTCAAAATAAAAATTTAAATGAATAATATTTTCATAATTCTTTTTGTGTCACGATACATTTGTTTACATTGGAGCTCTCTCTGGATTAATTTTTTGTGGTTAATATTTCCCTATTTGAAAATTTTGGGTTTTCTTAAAACAGTAAGTACAATATTCCACATGTCACATCAGGCCTATGCCCATCCTGGAGAAGCTCATCTGTCAGATGCAATGTAGAGTCAAATGTTAAGTGTCAGGGGGTCTGAGGGAAGTAGTGAAATATAAGACTGAAGGACCCATAGTCCAGTGGTAGTTAGAAAGATCAAGCCAAAGCTAGCCATGTAAGACATGGTAAACCTGTAGTGGCATCCATTGGGTGCAGAAAGAACACTCAGGGAAAGACAGACAAGAGAAACTGGAGCTAAATAATGATTGCAGAAATAACGGAGAAGGTAATGGCTTTCCTCTGTGGTTTAGAACTGTGTGACTTAGAAGGTGATTTCAGTCAGGTCAGCATTTTCTTGGCTGCCTGCAGTTGGCTACATCAAAGAGTGATTGAATTCCAGTATTTTTTCTATGACACCTACAGATGTCTTGGATTGGGAGACTTCTTCCCAAACCTGGATGAAGTAAGTTAGGAAGTACCTCTGCTTGACCATTCCATTCTGTAATTCGAGAGAAGAATGTTTATTTTTTATCAATTCAAGCACTGACCTTCACTTTATTTTTGTTAAATTCTTTAAAATCAGTGATATAAGCACAGGATTTTTAAAAAATTAATGTTGCAGGGTGCATACCTGTAATCTTAGCGGCTCTGAAAGTGGAGCAGGAGGATCAGGAGTTCAAAGCCAGCCTCAGCAAAAAAGCAAAGCACTAAGCAACTCAGACCCTGTTTCTAAATAAAATACAAAATAGGGCTGGGAATGTGGGTCAATGGTCAAGTGCTCTTGAGTGCAATCCCCGGTACAAAATTATAATAATAATTATTATTCAACCTTTTAGATATATACAAAGAAGTCTACTTGTTTCCTGGACATATCTTTGTTGTATCATTACAGGAAAAAAAAGTATATGTATTATGTTTTTAAAAATTATATAAATAGGATTCCATGTAAACATGTTTTGTCACTCAGTAAATCTTAGATAAGTCCACACTTAACACCTCAACTTTTTAAGTTTGCAAGGCTTCCCATTGCATGCATATTCCATAATTTCAACAACTATGTCATTTTAGGTTTTTTTTTTTTTTGAACCTGCAATAAATGTTTTTTTGCACCCACCTTTTGTGGGGGGTGGTGCCAGGGATTGAACTCAGGGACACTCAACCACTGAGTCACTTACCTAGCATGAGTGAGGCTCTGGGTTCCAACCCTAGTACTACAAAAAGTTAAATTTAAAACAAAAGAATCCAGAAACAACCATTCATGAGATACTGATTTTGACAGTGCTAACATTGCAACTGTGGGGGAAGAAGGGATTTCCATATTTAGGTTAGCAAGCAGCTAGACAAAAAATTGAATCAATCCTGGGTGGATTAGAGATCCAAAACTAAAATGTAAGGGAATATAGGGGAATATTTTCTGACTTGGGAGGAGGACTTTTAACAGATGCAAGTCATGAAAAGAAAGATTAATAACCTTACCTGTATTATTTCAACCAAAAGACAAACCCCAAACTAGTTGGAGACATTTGTAACATTAACTGAAAAAGGATTAACAGCCAGAATATACATAAAGAATGCCTTCAGTACAGCTGCATATAGAAAAATGGGCAAAAATAATTAAATTTCTCATAAGATGAAACTAAAGGGGGCCCTTAATATTATGCAAAGTTAAAAAAGTCCATCATTAAACAGGGAAGTACAAAATGAAGGCCATGATTATTGTAAATGATGAAATTTCTAAAAAAACTAAACTGAACAAAGATGTGACGCTCGGGAATCCTTTCAGACTGTATTGTTTATCAGCATAACCACTTTAAAGTGGAAAGCAGCTTGACGAGTTAAAATGAACATGTGAACGCCCTTCAAACCAGCAATGCCATCACTGAACAAGTTTGACAGTGTTTTTCTTCCCCTCCCCCCCAAAAAAGTGGAGCATTTTAGAATGTCCTTAGCTTCATCCCTAAAAGAAGGGGAAAATGGAGCACAGTATTGCCCAATGTGGCATGCAAAGGAAGTGTGACCCGTTTAGGGATGTGGCTGCTGCGATGATCCAGTGAAACTTTTCTAGCATCACAGTCATCTTGTGCCATTTATGGAAAAACTTTCCCTCCTATCACTCAATTTAGACAGTAGAACTCAAGTTACATATGGTCTCTGAAGATATTTGTCATTAAAAACCAGAATATGCCCTCTGTGATAGGGTCCTTTCCCTGACCAAATTCTGGGGAAGTCTTTATCCTCAGGATGCAAGGGTGTTCCCTCTTCCTCTGCAAAGTGCAGAATGACATGCACAGCTCTAAGACTTTCGGTTGCTTTGGGGTGCAGATCCATTTCAGGTAAGGCCAAATATTTTTTTTTTTAATTAGTATAGGCAAGTACAGGGCTCACTCAATGTATGCATAAGAAATAAAATTTGGTACAAGAAACAATTTATGTAAAATTTTGCTTGGAAACATTGTTTTTCAGATTGGTATTGTATTTCAGATAATTCAATGTCCTGTTTTTATTTTTTTTAAATTTCTTATTCGTCCTGATTAATTATACATGACAATAGAATGCATTTTGTTACATCATACATAAACGGAGTATAACTTCTCATTCTTCAACTGTTAATTTTTATTAAAAATCAGAAATAGTAGCCCCTTATTTATGGCTATGTCAGAAATACTGTGGACAAAATTTAACTGTGCTATCCTAGTTAAGTCACTTGACCTTTCTGCGTCTCAGTGTCTTAATAATCCTAGAGGATAATTATAGTACCTATGATAAATATTGTAAGAATTAAATGAACATAAAGTGCATGGCATAAAGTGATGGGTATTAGTCTGTGTTCTTAGCTTGGCTGTAAACACGGTATTCCCTGTTCCTTTTTTTTTTTTTTTTTTTTAGTGGAGTAAATTGTACTTTGAAAATAAATGACAGAAAACAAGTCGGATGGGGGTGGGCACAGACTGTGCTACTTCCTGTCCTTGTAGTCATTGCCAGTCCTGTCGTGAGTAAATTACAGCCAGCCTTGGTTAAATAATGAAGTCAAGAACACAGCCATTTTCATAATGGACTTGGCTTTGTTAGATCCGTGAACCTGAATATGAGAATGATTAATTAGTTCTCTTCATGTGAAGATTTTAAAACATTGGCTATTCTATAGCTTGAAAACGCTTTCATTTCAATGTTTTAAAACAGTGAAAATCAATAAAAGCGAGACCAGGTAGTGTAGAATGAATGTCTTTCACCACTCAAGCACACCTGCACTCCTAAGAAAAGGAAACGACTTAGTTAAATCTAAGCAAAATTGAAAGGCAATGGGAATCTTGGTGAAAGGGTTGTGCCCATGCAAACTGCGTAGGATTACAAAAGGCGCCAGGAGCAAAAACGCCCGTATGTTTGTTGCCTTTTCAGATATGCTAAGGAGCATCCTGCTGTGCGCATTGCTCCTGCGCGCCCAGCCTTTCCCCTGCCCTCAAGCCTGCAAATGTGTTGTCCGCGACGCCGTGCTGTGCTCCGACAGCAACGTGGAGCGCATCGCGGACCTGGGTCTGCCCACCAACCTCACGCACGTCCTGCTCTTCCGAATGGGCCGCGGAGCCTTGCAAAATCACAGCTTCAGTGGCATGACCGTCCTGCAGCGCTTGATGCTATGGGACAGCCACATCTCTGATATTGCCCCCGGTACCTTCAATGACTTGATAAAACTAAAAACCCTTAGGCTGTCTCGCAACAAAATCACCCATCTTCCAGAAGCTCTCCTGGATAAGATGGTGCTCCTGGAACAGTTGTTCTTGGACCACAATGCACTAAGGGACATTGACCAAAACATGTTTCACCAATTGGCTAACCTGAAGGAGCTCCTTTTGAATCAGAATGAACTCACTTTCCTTTCTGCTAACCTTTTCGCAAATCTGGGGAACCTGAAACTGCTGGATTTATCGGGAAACAATTTGACCCACCTGCCCAAGGGACTGTTTGGAACACAGGCGAAGCTTGAGACACTTCTGCTCCACTCCAACCAGCTAGTCTCTCTGGATTCGGGGCTGCTGGACAACCTGGAAGCCCTGATCGAGCTGCAGCTTGACAAAAATCACCTCCGTGCCATCGCGGCTGGTGCCTTCGACCGTCTCCGGAACCTGAGGACCTTGACTCTTTCGAGAAACCACCTCGGGTTTCTGCCCCCCGCACTCTTTCTTCATTCTCACAGCTTGACTCTGTTGACCCTGTTCGAGAACCCGCTGGAAGAGCTCCCCGACTTGCTCTTCGGGGAGATGGCCGGCCTGCAGGAGCTGTGGCTGAACGCCACCCAGCTACGCACGCTGCCCGCCTCGGCCTTCCGCAACCTGAGCGGCCTGCACACCCTAGGGGTGACGGTGAGCCCGCGCCTGAGCGCGCTCCCGCAGGGCACTTTCCAGGGTCTGGCTGAGCTCCGCGTGCTGGCCCTGCACTCCAATGGCCTCGCCTCACTCCCCGATGCCTTGCTGCGCGGCCTCGGTAGGCTGCGCCAGGTGTCGCTGCACCACAACCGGTTGCAGGCCCTGCCCCGTGCGCTCTTCCGCAACCTCAGCAGCCTGGAGAAGGTCCAACTCGACCACAACGAGTTGGAGACTCTGCCTGGCGATCTATTTGGGGCTCTGCCTCAGCTGACGGAAATCCTGCTGGGGCATAATCCCTGGCTCTGCGACTGTGGCCTGTGGCCATTCCTTGAGTGGTTGCGACAGCACCCGGGTCTAGTGGGTCGAGAAGAGCCCCCGAGCTGCCACGGCCCTGTGGAGCGCGCTGGCATGTTGCTCTGGGCCCTCCTGGAGGGTGACCCCTGGTGCCCCAGCCCTCGGGGCGCGCCTCCCCGCCCTCTAGCAGGGAACGCCCTGGAAGTCCCCATCCCCTCCTTGCTTCCTAACAGCGCAGAACCTGGGGCCTGGACCCAGATGGTGGCTACCAGCGAACATCAAGATCACAGCCTCTTCTGGGGTCTGTATTTTTTGCTTCTAGCTGCTCAGGCCGTCATAACCGGCATCATTGTGTTTGCTATGATTAAAATAGGCGGGCTCTTTCGAAAATTAATCAGAGAGAGGGCTCATGAGTCAACTGGAAAACCTCATCATTAAAACCTGACCAGGGTATTGTCAGATGTGGCTCTGGGGAGAATCCAGACGGGGCTGCTGTTCTCCCTTTCCTCCTCTCTGCCACCTTTCCCTCTCCCTTTTCCCCCCTCCTCCTCCTCAGCCCTTCTCTTTCCCTCTCCTCAGAACTAACCTTTCCATTTGTGAATTACTACCACCTGCAGGCCTCTGTCTCTCCCTGTTTCATACACTCCATGGACTGTGATTGGCCCACACTGTCCCACTAGCCCGGCTGGTGTCTGGGGGAGAGAGAGAGTTTTGAAATGTTTGAGGCTGCACTTCCAGCCAGGGCCTGACTCCCGCACATGGCAAACCTCCTGTAAATGTTTGTGAAATGAATGAATAAAATAAAACCTGGGATCTGAGTGATGCTGCCATTTCCTGAGAGAAAGGATGGGTTGTTCTCCTTATCTACTTGTATTTGAAAAGCAGAACTCTTCCAGTTCTTTGTTTTGTTTTTGTGTTTTTGGTGGGTGCTGGGACTGAACTATACCCCCAGCTTCCAGTTCTTTCTCTTGCCTTTTACTTCTCCCTTCATATATCTCTGAAAGCACTGGACTCCATTCATTCAGCAAATAGTTTCAGGGTAGGCCTCCTCTGTGACAGGTTGAGAAAGAAGGAAAACATCGAACCTTCCCTTCAGGGGTGCAGCACCCAGTGAGAGCAGCCATCGAGCCTGCCATGACCAAGAATATAGGAGCTTACCGGGTCACAGTGTGGACTGAGGAGGGTCCCCTAAGTGAATTCAGAGAGCCAGCACGTGACTGTGAAGGCTGGGAAACTGCTCAGCATGCTTAGTCACCTCTCCGGAGTTTCCACTTGCTTTGCATCGGTGAAATATGTCATTTGGTTTTCATTTCCTGGAACTAAACACCACATCATTTCATAAGCATTTATGGAGCAGCAAACTTATGACAGGTGTTCATGAATGTAATGATAAGCTTGGTTCCTGGTTTATTATGCTTGTATCACATTCTCATTTATTCTTCCAATGGAAAGCAGTTAAGCCCTTGTTGCTTTAATTGAATGGCTGTGCTTGTGAGAGGCATTGGTTGACACAGGGCTGCTAAGTTGACAGCTGTGGGTTCCGTCCTGGCTCCTCAACTTACTGCATAGCACCTTGGGCAAGACACCTACACACATTGTCTAAGCCTTGGTTTCCTCATCCCTGAAAGGGGATAAAATAATACCTGCCTCACAGAGCCGCTGTGAGGATTAAAGGTGATAAAGCATATAAAGACTTAACCCAGTGCCCTGCATACAGTAAATGCACAATGAATGGCAGTTATTATAACTCAAGGGTGAGCAATGATTGCTGCATCATGATTTCTAAAGAAGAGTTTTGAGTTGTGTTTTTCTTTGGATATAAAAGAAAGAGCAAACTTTCTCAAATTGGAAGTTCCATTCAAACCCGTCATCCTCACCTGTGGGTGGTCTCAGGGCTGTGTGGTGAGGCTGTGTGCTCACAGAAGAGCTGTGGATCCTTGCAACTGGATGTGGAGCAGGAAGACCTGGATCCTGGCATTTGTAGATGTACTTCTCTTTCAAGGACAAGTACAAATGTCTGCTTGCATGGTAGACTCATGTGTTCCCATGGTGCTTTCTATCTGGCACTGGGCACCCCTCCCACTAGGTCCTGGACACCCTTTACTTCAGGGTTTCGATTTAGGGTATCTGTTTAATTCGACTCTTGCACTGTAAACTTCTTAGCTGGATGTAGTCTTATTTTCGAATTTTGAAATTACTTACAGCTAAAAATCCAAATTTTTTTTTTTTGATGGAATACTGACTGCTTTCTAACCACTATAGGCAAGCTCCTTAGCTCTCAAGACTCTGTCTCTTCACCTGCAAATGAAGATGATAACAATCCCTATCACTGTTGCAAGGATAAAATGAGATAATCCACTTGAGATAAAGTCAGTGGCTGGTGTCCTGGAGCTCAAAATAAGTTAACAATTCTGATTATCTATTTCCGGAACTCCTCTGTATTCTAGGCATTTCTCAAGGCCTTGGCATGTGTTCATTCATTTGGCAGATATTTATTGAGCACCTACTTTGTACCCCTTCTAAATGGAAGGACAGAGCTATGGATAAAACAATGTGCACACTTCCATGGGTTTGCATTCTACTGTCCCCTCCCACTGTAACTTTGATCCAGAATTCTTGGCCATTATCTTCCAATATACAGAAAAGTATGGAGGACAACTTTGAGCACATTGGCTACTATAAAATGTTTATACTTGGCTATGCTTGCTTCACAATTAATTTTTTTTAGTTGTGTAGATGGATACCATACCTTTATTTTATTTATTTATTTTTATGTGGTCCTGAGGACTGAACCCAGGGCCTCGCATGTGCTAAGTAAGTGCTCTGCCACTGAGCCACAACCCCAGCCCTTCACAATTTTTTTAACAGAATAAAATACAACAGATAAAGTTGAAGGCTCCTTTAGATATCTCTTCCCTGATTTCATTCCTTTCCTTCTCTCCTGAGAGATCACCTACTTAATAAATTTGGTGTTTTGCATCCATCCCTGTGCATGCTTTTAGATTTCTACTTTTGTTTTGGTAGAGTATTTTGTTGTTGTCATTGTGGTTTGTTTTGGTTTGGTGTATCCTCAGCCACATCCCCAGCCCTTATTTTTATTTATTTATTTTGAGACAGGGTTTGTTAAGTTGCTTAGGGCCTCACTAAATTGCTGAGGCTGGCTGTGAACTTGGGATCCTCCTTCGTCAGCCTCCCAAGCTGCTGAGATTACTGGGGCGCCCCACTTCGCCTAGCTATTTTTACCTCATGTATTAAGATGCTCAGGTTTTTTTTTTTTTTCCTCCTTCAAGGTGTTGAAATGGTAAATAAATTTACAGATTTTGAAAAGCAAATTCATGACCACCTTCCTGAGGTAAACCCAGCCTGGCCATGCATTCTTAAAATATATTAATAGACTCAGTTGGCTAATGTTTTGTTTTGAACTTCAGTATCTATTCATTAGTTAGATTTACTTATAAATTTTTAAAAATAATAACTTTGAGTAGTTTTGATTCCAGATTATAAACTGGGATTTTTTTTCTCTCACTCTACTTTGTAAAACTGGGGTCATCTTTTCCTTGAAAATATTTGTAATGCTCCTCTGAAAACCCTTCTTGGCCTGGTTGTATGTGTATAAGTGTGACATATCTATTGCTTCAGAACAAGTGCTCCAAATCTTAGTGACTCCAAACAATACGATTTATTATCTCACATTTTCTGAAGGTCAGTAATTTGGCAGTAACTTCATTGGGTGGTTCTGGCTCAGGGTCTCTCAAGGAGTTTTCTTCGAAATCTTTGCTAAGGCTATCATCTGAACAGGAGGTGGACAGTCTGCTCCCAGAGTCTCTCACACAGTTGGTAGTTCCTTGCCACATGTACGCCTGCAGTAGTTTGTTTTGTGTTACTCTGACAAAATACCTGAGGCAGGGAATGGAGACTGGGGTACTTTATAAAGAAAATAAATGTATCCAGATGTGGTGGTCCATGCTGGAATCTCAGTGAACCTGGAGGCTAAGGCAGGAGGATCCCAAGTTCAAGACCAGCCTAGGAAACTTAGCAAGACCCTGTCTCAAAAAAATAAAAAGGGTTCATGATATGGGGATGTAGCTCAGTGGTAGAGAGACCCTGGGTTTAATCCTCAGTACTGGAAAAAAAAGAAAAGAAAAGTATATTTAGCTCACAGTACTGGAGTCCAAGAGCATGGTGCTGGTGTCCTGGTAAGAGCTCCTTTGGCAGAATCACAACATGGTAGAGAAGCTGGAAATGCAACATGCAGAAGAAACCAAGCCCATGAAGCATCCTCATGATCTGACCTGTTCTCATAGGACTTCCCAAGAGAGCAAGAATGGACCCCCATGAGAAAAGCAATAAATCTTTTTGTTCTTTTTAAACTAACACATACTTATTGTACACATTAATGGGATTGGATGTGATATTTCCACGCATCTATACAATATGCATGGATTGTATTCAACCACCTTCCTGCTGTCCCCTTGCCCCACAGTAACCATGATTCTATTATCAGGTCAACTTAAAATAAAATCTGATGTCATGTATAACCAAAAGGAACAAATTTTTAAAAAGGTAACAAAATTTTAAAAATAAAATAAAATTTGAAAAAAAATACTAAACTGTATACTTTAAAATAACAAATTTTATTATATGTGAATATATATCAGATTTACAAAGTAAATTCAAGGAAAGCAAATAGGATCAAGAAGATATTCATGGTAAAAAATGACCTACAGAGAAGGAATGTCCCTGTGAGAGAAGGAGAGAGGCATCCATTCCTTCCAAAGGTGGGGCCTGGGTGGTCTGATGGTCCCCCAGCAGGGCCCACCTCTTCAAGATCCCACAGCCACACTAGAGATGCACTTCCAAGCACATGAGCCTTTAGGGGACAAACCATGTCCAAACTGTGGCAATTTCTTTTGGGGCTGCTTGAATGTCTTCATGAGAGGGCAGCTGACTTCCCCAGACCAAGTGATTGAAGAGCAAGATATCAAGGCAGAAGCCCACGGTGCTGTTTTATGGCACAGCTTTGACGATCACAGTGGTTTCCACAGTAGCCTCCTGGTTTGCACAGGCAGGTCTGTGCAGTGTGGGAGGGCCTTACTCATCAGGTGAACGCCAGGAGGCCAGAATCACTGCGGTCACTTTGGAGTCGGATTTCCACAGTATACATGACTTGTGTGTGTGTGTGTGTGCAATTTATCTTAAATACTGATTGAGTTTTTTCCAGTGGTTACAGATTTATTCATTCTCTACACCCTCACGTTTATTACAGTCTTTATTTTGAAAGTGTCCATTTTGTCCTAGCATTTTTATTTAGCTTTAAAAATCTCCACCAGATCTTCAGTTGTTCCTTCTTAAAATCCCTATTATTATTTATATCCATTTTTATCTTGTTCACTTTTACAACATTTTTTCCCCCATTTTATTAGCTTTTTAGTAAGGTA